ACACACATTCCAGCAGAGCAGCAGAATACTGAATCAGTTCAGAAGGAAAGAAGAAAAAAAAACAGATCCTCTGTCTCGGATCAGACAGCTTGTTGTTCAAGCTGCAACAATGCACTGCAGGACTTTGCCCGATACCTTCAAATACTGTATGAATCTTAATCCTGTCTTCTACACAAGGGCATCAACCCTTAAATCATTAATAGGGGTGATGTAGGCATCAAAACAACAGGAGATTATGCTTTCTGCTGGCGTGAGGCAATAACTTACATGAAGGCTCGCAGTAAAACAGTCAGAACAAACCGCATTTAGGTATTGAGCAATGTTTGGTGGTGAAGGTGTAGCAATGAAGTTGGCGCTGGGACTTAGTCGTCGTGGGCTGAGCTCCGGGGCCAACACAGGTGCTGTGACTGGGAGAGCCAGGCCATGACAGGCAGTTCCAAGAACTGCATATGGATTTAGAGCTCACTCTAATCTGAGAAAAACCCAGACCTCAGGAAGTATGTGTGTCCTTAAGACAAACACACACACACACAGTGTAATAGGAGAGAAAGAGAGAGACACTTCCGAAGACTGCAGACAATTAAATTTGAGTTATCATCAGTATTAGTATTTTGGTTTATTGACCAAGTTACAGGTATAGAATATGTGATGTACAATATAGGTGTGCATTTGTAATGGCAGAACAAACTAAAAATATGTGAAAATACATTTATTCTGGTTACCTTATCCTGTGCATAATACAAATTACCAGGAAGTTTTGAACTGAGGTCTGGGGACACCCAAAGTGGTGCTAGGAAGCACACAGTGATTAGCAAATTATTTTCATTTAGTTTTGGAATAATATTTATTGTCAAAAGTTCTACAGTAAATCTGCAGTTCTTAATTTCGTTATATCCTCTTTCTATTGTTATATCCCAAAAAAAAATGTGTTTAATTGTTACCTGGATACACTAAATAAAAATGATTTTCCCAATGAGCATCGTATTTAAAAAATAAAAATAAATAAAATAGGAAGAAACTGATTTGCAAATTGACTACAGAACCCCAGAGAACAAAAAGTTTTGCTTAGTTTTGAAACTTGAATAAATGTCTTTCTCTTTAAGTAAGTCTGCTTATCAGGTTAATTTATGTTTTAAGGAAACAAAAATGCTCATTAAGATTGTTTCTGGAGTGTATGTGCGTTTGAGTTTGGTGTGTTACATGAATCATGTTACATATTTTTTCTCTTTCATGTCTTTGGCAACAGTCATCTGGCTTCTGCTGGACGACTACCTGAAGGTAAGTCTGATTACATTACATTCAAAAATATATTTAGCATAATATTATTTTAAATATTATTCATCATTTTGTAGAGTAAGACTTGACAGTTTAAATCTGGCCCTCGTTGGTAGTGCTGTTAATTTTTTCTAGGCAAAGTACGCCACCCACTGGTACACTCTATTAAGTGCACTCTGGAAAACATTTCCAGTATACTTGCATACCGTAAACAGTTTCCCAGCAGCACCCCTGAGCTAGACCAACCCTTTCTTACACCCAAGCGGAGAAAATCACTGAGATCATAGGTCTGCTGTGTCTACATTATAAAAGACATCAGATTGATAAGTGCAAAATTGGTGCAAATGAAATGGTCAGTTCATGACTCGGACCACTAGGGGTGGATATGCTGTCACATGAAGATGTCTTCTGGCCTCAGTAGGCTAGTGATTAAAATATTTTCAAAGGGTTACATATCAGTGGTAATGTGATTTTACATTACACGTGTAATGTGACACGTGCTTTATTATATTTAACTTAAATTTCCAGCACTCATACTGAGGACAGGTTGGTCCTGTTAATCCGGTGTTTCCACTGATCTATATAGAATGATCATTATATAGATCAGTGGGTGTTCCCCATCTGTTTCTGGATAAATCGTATTTTACGTAACAGATCCTCAGTGAACCTCTAGGCCCCAATGTTTCTTTAATCAGCCAGATCGTCTTTCTGATAACCCTGTCATTAACTCTCAGTACTTGGAGGTTTATCTGTGACCGCATCAAGAAGCTTGTTCATGCCCTTTACACACTACCATTCAAAAGTTTAGGGTATGTAAGATTTTTTTAATTATCTTATGTTCAAAGGGTTATTTGATCAAAATGCAGTAAGACTGTAGTATTGTAAGAGTAATTTTAAATAGCTGTGTTCTATTTTAATATATTTTAAAATGTAATGTATTCCTGTGATGGCAAATCTGAATTTTCAGCATCACTAATTCAGTTTTCAGTGTCACATGATCATTCAGAAATCATTCTAATATGACGATTTGCTGCTTAAGAAACATGTCTTATTATTATTATCAATGTTTAAACTGTCGTGCTGCTTTAAAAAAAATCTAGATTCTAGAAAGTTCAAAAGAGCAGCGTTTTTAGAAATAGACATTTGTAACATTTAAATCTTTTGTAACATTTAAATCACTTTTGATCCATTTAATGGATCATTTGTGAATAAAAGTATTAATATCTTCATAAAACAAGATTTTACTGACCTCAAATTTTTCACAGTATTGTATATAGGTGAGTCCTTACCAAATATATATTTTTTTTTAAAGAAACAAACTGGTGCAGTTTTTTTTTCTGTTATGGATACACCTCTTTTTCACCTAGTCTATTACACTATATGTATTATTCAGTTGTATTTGATAAAAAAATAATCAGTAGCATGTAGACAACATCATTGAAACAGCGTATTGTGACTACAATCTCTATGAAATGATTGATGAAATCCTCATCCTATAATAATAATCGACTGTAAAAGCTTTAGAAAAGTCCAAAAGGTGTGGAAACCCAGTACTAAGCTTAACTTTTCTTTTTTTTTTTATCCATCTGTTCCTACAGGTTGTCAGATCTTCTCTCTTCACTCCATCAGCATCCTCAGAAAGTATCTATCAGTCTTAGAGCTGCCAGTCAGCTGGCTCCTCCCCTCTGATTTCTGCTGTCTCATTGGACAGGAGGAGTATAAACGTGCCAAGGTGCGTCACGAGTCAGCGTTTAAACAAATAGCTTAAGCTCTGATTAGACCCGATGAAACGTTACGAGTGTCTCGCTTTTCTCAGCTTCTACAGTACAGCTGTCTTCAGATGTATTCCCAGACTGAAGACTGAATACAGAACATTCATAGCTGAAAAAAGCTCCTTCTTAAAACAAGGGCTGTGTTGCTGATTAACACATTAGTACTTTGAACCTTTACTGTAAGCATTAACTAATCCTGCCGAGAGAATGACGCAGTTTCTCTGTCTGAACTGCCTCTACCAGTCTGGCTCCTTACAGTAGGATGTTAAGCCTTCGTGTGTCAGTTTGTGATCTTTGGTCAGGTCATCTACCTGATTTATTATAAGGGCTATAAAAAAAGTAAATCAGTACACAGTAACCCAACAAATTGAATTAACTGTTCACTTCTCTCTCCTCTTCGTTCCTCAGAAAGCCATGCTCTGTCATCGCTCTCAGCTGCTGTGGTTCCGCCGGCTCTACATACTGTTCTCACGCTACATGTTCATAAACACGTTCCAGGCCATCGTTGTGGAAACAAAGAATGTGAAAATTTATTAGATTAGATTGTCTTGGACACTGTTCCTGTCCATGTAGGACTAAAGCTATGCACTGCATTGTTTAGGTAAAGGTTAACTTCATGTTTCTTATTTCTTTAAATAACCCCATTCCAAATATGCTGTCATTAAAATACTATATAGTGACAGCATATTAAAAAAGGTTCAGCGAATATATTATTCAACCTGCAGACACTGATGGAGAAATGCTGGTATATAATGGGCATATACACACTGTACCCCTAACCATCCAATATTCTGAAAGCCAGTTTTCTGGAGAGGTTTAGCCTAGATAAGCACTTTAATAGAGTAGCTGAATCCAAAGAACAGATTGTGCCTTTGTGTGTGCAGGGAATGGAGAAAACAAAATTAGATTCTGGATTTTGTTTACATTTGCGTTTACTGTTGTTGTTTGACTTAAGTTAAAGCACTGTTCCAAACGGGTCAACGAGTACTGTACCAAATTTTGTGATTCAGTATGGTTTCAAAACTGGCATGTATTTCTGAATTCTTTCCGAGCAAATCTGTAATTCTTGGAAGTTTATGATGTTCTCTGTTTTGACTTTGAGTTATGAATATATACATATAACAATGTGGAGTAATGCAACAATTGTTTAAAATAAATTTGATAAAGTGAGAAAAAAACATGAACTTTTTTTCTTTTTGAAAATAAATGGTTTTAGTGGTTTTCCTTATACATGACATAACATCCTCAATACAAAGTTGGAAGACAATACAAATATCAATCCTCCTTTGATGTCCTAAATATCTATTAGAGTATGATTTCCAATTTACGAGTATGATTTCCATTCCATTTACCATTAAAATGTTCCTGTTGATACATTTCTTAATAAAAAATACCAAAGAGATCGTCCCTTCATCATCATAAAATCCCTAGAAATTAGCTCTAGGATATAGGGGGAGGTCTAGACAATTTTTAATAAAAATAATTTAGTTCATTTTGTTTTCAGAAGATAAATATTTTTGTAAATTTGTGTCTGTTAAGGTGAATTTTGTCAACAATTACACTGATAAAAATTTCTTAAGAAGCAGGAGAGTACAATCTGAGGTTACGTTTACACAACAACAATATATTATTAACTGATAACCTGTAGTTTCATGTACAGACGACAACATTGTCAAAACGATGAGGACTCAAAACTCTGTATTATGCTTGCCAGGCCAGCAGTTGATGTTATTTTGTTGTTCGAGTTGTCAAATACTCATGCATTCCTATAGACTGAACACAATACGCATACACATGACACCACTAAAGATAACGGTATCGTTTTCAAAAACTTGCACTTTGAAACCCATTTCAAAAGTTTGCGTCTTCAAGCCCCCAAAGCGCCATTGTCGTGTAAATGAACGGCCAAAACGCATACATTTTGTTCCATTTTTAGTTAGTGTTGTGTAGTGTTGTATAAACGGCCTCTTAAATCTTCTGGCTGAAGCTGCATTCTGAAAGTCAAACTATTCAAAAGACCATAGGAAACCGTCAATTATGTGTCCGTTGTTGGTTTTGACATGCTTCTAATAGTATGATGCTTCTGCATACTTTCCTCCCAGTTTTGCCCACAGAAATCCTCCACAGTCACACTTCTCACTGTTCCAGTTTCCAAACAATGAGGTGCCACACCTGTAAAGTCATGGCAAAATGCATGTGAAAACACATCCAAATAAGAGAAAACTTTTTCTTCACATCAAAAAGGAAATGCTCTATAGTTTAAAACAAAGCAAGGTAAAGTATGGTTTGTCTATAACATGCGGTAAAAATTGTCTGTAAAAAAAAAACATCCCAATAATGGTCCGCCTTGTTTTCAACTCACCAAATCCATCAGGGTTGGAACGTGGAGTGTAGAAACTCTGGACGCCGCACGTTTTGCAGAATGTGTGCTTGGCCATGTGTGTGTTAAATGTGTATGTGGTCATGTTGTCTGATCCCTATGAAACATAATTATATAAATAATTATAACAAATGTAACATTATATGCATTCTGCTCAAAAAGATCCTGTGTACATGCTTCAAAACACATACCTGCAGCAAGGTGAACTGGGATTTTGGTACAATGAAGTGACGATTCTGTTTCTTTGTGCAAATACTGCAACTGAGACAGAACAGCAATCAAAACCATCAGTAGGTGGGTTACCTCATGAAAAGTCTCTCTCATGTGAATACAATGACTCTAACAATGAAAAGCTGACACCAACTTGTGCACCAACTTTTATTACAGGCATTTTTGCATTGGCTCTCTCCATTCCTCTATCGAGCCGGTGCCAGCGAAGCACTGAAGAGACGAATATAGTCTGAATTAACGAAAGGGTGGAATGATGACGTAACGCAAAGTATCCCCAGCTAGAAAAATACATGTGGCCCCTTCACATATTTGTCAGAACGTAAACAAACCCATCGCTACTACAACTGAAACTAAAAGCTACTGAGCAAATACAGATGGCAGAGCATTGAATATTACTCTACATAAAACAAAAAAGAAAATTGCCTAGGCAATATGAAAACTCGACTTATTGATATCCATGAAATAAAGACATTTTAGACAACCAGATATAAATGCATCTTAGATACACAATTTCAGCAGTTTTACCTTGAATACAGACAAGTTACCATGATGCCCACTCACTCAGGTAAGCTGTGGCATTTAAGCTATGCTCAGTTGGTACTAAGGGGCCCAAAGTGGCTTTGCCTCCTCATTCTGCATGCCACATAAAATGAGAGGCCGTTTAGGAAATGAAATAATACATGTATTGTGTGAATGTGGATTGGTTCACTGGTTGAATGTATAGTTTAATGACGAACGCTTTGGTTTATAATACACAGAGGCGGACAGAGTACAGAGCTTTGTTACTTGAGTAAAAGTACAGATAGCCCTTGCTAAATTTTACTCAAGTACAAGTAAAATTACTACATTCAGATATCTACTTAAGTAAAAGTACTAAAGTACTTGTTTTTAAAAGTACTTGAGTATCAAGAGTACAAGAGTAGATTTTCTAAATATTGCATTACTTATCTACTGCCACAGTGCTTACATTTATGCACAGAAACGTCCTACATGGAGTTATGAAAAATGTTAATGTTAATACCTTGGAGAATGTAAAAGGAATTGAAAGTAAAATCAAGTCATTTTCATCTTTTTACCATGTTGCTTTATTTAATTTAATTTAATTTTTTGGGGGTCCCATCTTTAAATGAGGGGACAACACACACACACACACACACACACACACCACATGTAAGGGTGGCGCTGCCAATAAAGCACCTAAAAGCTGTCACAAAGAACCGGCAAAAGGAATGATTATGAATATGTAAAATATAGCAAGGAGATATTTTAATTGTTTATTAATAAACACTTGTTAATAAACAAGTGTTTTCTTTGTCAGTGTCGGCTAGATGAAGTGACGATGCTGACTCGCGATCTTCAGTAGTGAACGCGCCAGAGAGAAATGCACATTTCATACGGATTACATAAGCAGAGAGCAGTCTGTAGTCTGTTTTCTTTCGTTTTGAATTTTTCTGTTTAAAAGTAGACATGTCTGTGAGAGGCAAGTAGGCTACCTTATACACTGAGTTTCGGTTCATTTATGAGACGAGATCCAGTTCACGTGCCGGCGCCTCCGTTTCTTATCTATCGTCTGCTATTTACTTCTTATTTATTAAACCCAGGCAATTGGTTGATGAAACATTGATTAAAATTAAGATACAATTAATGCAAAACGAAATTCAGGTTAAAGAAAGGTTTTGTGTTTTCTGTTTGATGTCTCTGTGAAAGTTTTAAAGCATTTTTTATGCCGCTTTCACACGTCCGTAACGGAGAACACGTCCATAACATTGTTTTTTCCTCATAAATGCAAACCCGAAAAATAAAATAAAACAAAATTAATATTTTATGTACTGCGGAGACTGAGCGCCAACCCTTCTTCATTCGCTGGGTAGTAGCCTACTTTGGTTTGTGCAGTGTAATTCACATAATCAGTAAAAATTATATTTTGCCTCCTAAAGTTTTTTTTTTAAGAAATCAGAAATCCCTCGTGGCTACGCCACTGCCACATTTGAACCTGACTGTGTTAAACACACCACATACTCAAGAACATCAAACCAAATGCTTGGCTTACATTAATGTGTAATATAAAATCTGACCATGGAGTTGACTTTGGCGGAAAGCTGAAAGTGATTGCTGATAGGCTGTCCCAATCAGTGGCGCCTGCACAATCCAATCACGTTTGAGAGGGAAACAACAAATTGAGGGTTTCCGGGATTTTTCTTTTGTTTTACTTTTTTTTTTTACTCGGGTACTCACGGTTATGGATAGAAATGTATTGGAGTAAAGAGTACAATATTTGCCTCTCAAATGTACTTGAGTAAAGTCATGAGTACTCCCCAAAAATGATACTCGAGTAAAGTACAGATCCCTCAAAATTGAACTTAAGTACTGTACTCAAGTAAATGTACTCCGTTACTGTCCGGCTCTGATAATACATTTGTATAACTACATGTATAGGTTTAGATACAGTAGTTTGATCAAGTACACCTGGGTTTGTTTCTTTATACAACGGTTTGTTCAAATATACATTGGTTTCCTCAAGTACATATCAGTTTAGAAACATCAGTTGACTCAAGTATACATTGGTTTGATCAACTACAGTGGGGAGAACAAGTATTTGATACACTGCTGACTTTGCAGGTTTTCCCACTTAAAAGCATGTAGAAGTCTGTCATTTTTATCATAGGTACTCTTCAACTGTGAGTGACGGAATCTAAAACTAAAATCCAGAAAATCACATTGTATGATTTTTAAGTAATTCATTTGCATTTTATTGCATGACATAAGTATTTGATCAGAAAAGCAGACCTTAATATTTGGTACAGAAACCTTTGTTTGCAATTACAGAAATCATATGTTTCCTTTAGTTCTTGACCAGGTTTGCACACACTGCAGCAGGGATTTTGGCCCACTCCTCCATACAGACCTTCTCCAGATCCTTCAGGTTTCGGGGCTGTCGCTGGGCAATACGGACTTTCAGCTCCCTCCAAAGATTTTCTATTGGGTTCAGGTCTGGAGACTGGCTAGGCCACTCCAGGACCTTGACCCAGCCACGACCCATCTTCAACGCTCTTGAGGGAAAGAGGTTGTTGGCCAAGATCTCACGATACATGGCCCCATCCATCCTCCCCTCAATACGGTGCAGTCGTCCTGTCCCCTTTGCAGAAAAGCATCCCCCAAAGAATGATGTTTCCACCTCCATGCTTCACGGTTGGGATGGTGTTCTTGGGGTTGTACTCATCTTTCTTCCTCCAAACACGGCGAGTGGAGTTTAAACCGAAAAACGCTCTATTTTTGTCTCATCAGACCACATGACCTTCTCCCATTCCTCCTCTGGATCATCCAGATGGTCATTAGCAAACTTCAGACGGGCCTGGACATGCGCTGGCTTGAGCAGGGGGACCTTGCGTGCGCTGCAGGATTTTAATCCTTGACGGCGTAGTGTGTTACTAATGGTTTTCTTTGAGACTATGTGGTCCCAGCTCTATTCAGGTCATTGACCAGGTCCTGCCGTGTAGTTCTGGGCTGATCCCTCACCTTCCTCATGATCACTGATGCCCCACGAGGTGAGATCTTGCATGGAGCCCCAGACCGAGGGAGATTGACCGTCATCTTGAACTTCTTCCATTTTCTAATGATTGTGCTAACTGTTGTTGCCTTCTCACCAAGCTGCTTGCCTATTGTCCTGTAGCCCACCCCAGCCTTGTGCAGGTCTACAATTTTTTCCCTGATGTCCTTACACTGTGTTGTCCTTTAAGGAATTTAACTTTAGAGTATTTGTCATGTGATGATGATGTCACTTCCTATTAAGTCACTTCCTGTTTGTCCTTCCTGGTACTGCATGGAAACACTGGGTGCTTCTCATTTCTTATTTGTGCATCCTCGTTTCCTTTCCTCGCTTCCTTTCCTCGCGTCTCAGCTCCACCCCCTGTAGGACGCGAGGGAAGGCTGCAAGGAAAAAAAATGAGGACGGAGGAATTGAATGAAAGCTTTTTTATACATTGGAATACTTGATCACTCGAGCGTCACTTCACTGCGTCATCAGCAGCGCTCAAAGGATCTGCCTTTATGTTGTTAAAGTTTGTTTATTTAAGAAATTAATAATAAATAATAATAAAGCAAGATACCTTGTTGAAATATGTGAGTTGTGTGGTTTATGTAAACTACAAAAGTAAAGTATAAATTCAAATGATTGTGACAGATGTGAAGGGGGAGGAGAATTGATACGTGCGTCATGTTTAGTCGATAAAACTCTTCCGCAAAGGGTACACCTGTGTATCCTCGCTCATGACTCCTCTGGAAGCCTCCTCACTCCTCGATCCTCGCCTCCTCGCGGTGCAATTAGAGAATTGAGATGTCCTTCAAGATGGCTGAGCTCGATCGGTTTCCGGGTCATAGGATGGAGGACGGAGGAGCGAGGAGACGAGGAGGGATATTGAGAAGCACCCAATGAGACAGACATGTGCTCTCGGTGTTAAATCCACTTGCATCCACCTTAAAGCATCATAGAGGCAATGCCTTACGTTTATTTATGTGATATTAGACATGTTAAAGATCATAAATTTGTAGAGATTTTGTTAAAAAGATGTTTGATAAGATTGCTAAAAGCGATGTTTACTATTGTGTACAAGCTCACAGCACTGCTAATGGCCTGTATAACTGCTGCTACATTGAGAATGGCATTGTATATTCATGTTATAATCATTCATAATGTAATGTTACTCAAGAAATGGACACTGAATATTGCTGTATTGTTTTATTACAGTTTTCACCACTACATGTAAATGAGGAAGTGTGACAGTAAAGCATCAAATTTACTACGACTCTGTCTTCATTTACACGGTTTAAGTTGGTGTTTAGCCAGAGTTTCAACACACTGCACGAGAACACTACATACACAGCTCGCCTTGCTTTTGGCTTGCTTAGTTGGGGATATTTAATATTCAACAATATTATTGAACTGTGTTGTACTACTTTCATGTTATCACTGTGAAGCTGCTTTGATGCAATCTGTATTGTAAAAAGCGCTATATAAATAAATGTGACTTGACTTGACTTGACAGCTCTCTGGTCTTGGCCATTGTGGAGAGGTTGGAGTCTGTTTGATTGAGTGTATGGACAGGTGTCTTTTATACAGGTAACGGTTCAAACAGGTGCAGTTAATACAGGTAATGAGTGGAGAACAGGAGGGCTTCTTAAAGAGAAACTAACAGGCCTGTGAGAGCCGGAATTCTTACTGGTTGGTAGGTGATCAAATACTTATGTCATGCAATAAAATGCAAATGAATTACTTAAAAATCATACAATGTGATTTTCTGGATTTTTGTTTTAGATTCCATCACTCACAGTTGAAGAGTACCGATAAAAATTACAGACTTCTACATGCTTTGTAAGTGGGAAAACCTGCAAAATCAGCAGTGTATCAAATACTTGTTCTCCCCACTGTATATATTGTTTTAGATACATTAGCTCAAGTATATATTGGTTTGATCAAGTATACATTGGTTTAATCAAGTATAATGGTTTATTGGTTTGTTCAAGCATACATTAGCTTCATCTACAATGTATTGGTTTAGATGCATGGGTTTGTTCAAGTATATGATGTTTTATTAACAAAGTTTGGGAGGAACACGTTCAAATGATCTATCCAATCAGCACGAGAGGAGGCCTAACAACTACGAGACTCAACTATGTTCCTCGACAGTTTTCTGCATCCCTACACCACCCTGACTCCTCACTCACGGCTTGTTACTATCCCAGCCAGGGATATGTGGGTTGTACTCTGGGTTCGGGCCAAATTCTGAGGCTGGAGCCCTCCCCTCGGCTGGTTACTATCCCAGCCAGGGATATGTGGGTTGTACTCTGGGTTCGGGCCAAATTCTGAGGCTGAAGCCCTCCCCTCGGACAGCACGCCAAATACACACACACTTTACTCTAAGTACATATTGTAAGAAAAAATGATGTGGACGTCGAAGATCTCAAAAATGAAGTTTATTACAGCATAGCAGTGGCAAGCTACACAAAGCACCTTGGGTTCACCGGCGTCAGAATTAACCCAGAACATCTAAATCTCAAACCTTTTATCCTGGTCTAAATGTAAATAAAGTTGCTCTTGTTGCAACAGCTGTGGTCTGTATGTTAATGAAGTTGAGACACCCCACTGTCTGATAAGGTTCTCTGTGTCCCACACCCAGTCCCATTCTACAATTGATTACCATTTGCTCAGTATGTGGTCAACCCCCAGTGTTCTTTAAAAAATACAACTTGACTTTATTTCATCTCTATGATAATTAAGCCAATTTTAGGATGAGCTCATTCTAAAATATATTTTGGAGTGGAATCTGGGTCGGGGCAGACTAAAATTTCTTACAATATTGTTTTTTCAAGTATATATTGGTTTATTCAAGCATGCACCGGTTTAGATACACTGGTTTAATCAAGTAGCCTATACATTGGTTTGTTCAGGTATATATTGCTTTGATCATGTATACATGGGTATTCACAAGTATGTTTTTCAGTAGCCTATTGGTTTCTTGAAGTTTACATTGTTTTAGATACATTGGTTTGTTCATACACAGGTTTGTCAAAATATGTTTTGTTTGTTCAAATATGTATTGGTAAGGATACATTAGTTTGCTGGCGAGTTGATGGGGTTGTCACAATTGTTTTCGAGATGTCAAATTATTCTTTTAAATAAAACAAAGAGTACAACTAAAAGACATTGTATAAAGTGCACATGATATTCTAATATGAATAAATGAATATACACTCCTTAAAATAATAATTAATGCAAATATTTCCTACAGAGATTTCTTTATTACTTGTGTTAAAGGGGTCATATAATGCCATTTTTGTACAAGCTAATATGATTCTTTAGGGTCTAAATTAAAAGTTTGTAATATACTTTAATTAAAAATTCTCATTAGTATTGTAAGAAAACAGTTATTTTACCTGGTCAAAAATACCTCTGTTTTCAGCACGCCGTTTCAGTGCATATGACTTTAAATGATCATGAGCTTTGCTCACCCCCCCTCTCTGTTCTGTGCGTACACGTTTGTAACACAATAACCATAACGCGTTGTTCATTATAAACGTGGGATTATGAATTATATTGAGAACGTCCTACATAGAAAACATGCCGTAATGTATCCTGAGTGTAAACCTTAGACGCATTCATCGTGAAGCGTGCAGCTAGCGATTTGCAAAGGTATAAATATTAATATAAAGGTTAATAAAACGTTACACTCACTTCAGTTGTTTTAGAGGTTCAGCAGGAACACGAATAGCTGGTACCGATCCTTTTTTCATGAGCAGCTTCTTAGCAAATCCAGCTTTATACTGACCCTCGTTTATAAAGCAGTCTGGTGAGAAATGATTCGCGCAAACATGATAGCATTTACGTTACTCGTGGGGAATATTCCCTTCGAAAACAAACTCAGCCACTGCGTCTTCAGCGGTTCGGATTTAGGAACATTAAAATGACTGCTGGGTTCGTTATTACACCCAAGAACAGAATCGCTTAGACGCCATTCTGCTCATAGACAGTGCTCCAGCATATCAACAATGACCGCGCCGGTCAGCGCAGACTATGATTGACAGCTGGCTCACTAGCGAGGGCGGATCTGTGTTGAAACCCTGCTGTCAATCAATAATCGTGGGAGGGGCGTGCGAGCTTGTTACGTCACAGGCTCGAACGGCTCGATTTGAGGCAGGGGAAAACATATAAGGAGATTAAAACAAAACCACTGGATGGATTTTTATCATTATATGATGGTTGTGTACAGACACTGCCAACACACTCAACACACATTTCAGTACAATCAACTTGTAAAAGTGCATGTACCATTATATGACCCCTTTAAATTTGTGGGAGGATTTCATAGACTGAGTTAATAGTACATAGTAATAAATTAACTACACACTCACAGACATAAGTAGTAGTAGTGGTTTAATAAAAGAATTTTTGATCTGGCCTGTTGAATTTTCATTAGATTTAAAGCATCTACATACTGGGACAACGTAAATGTGACAGGAGCAAACCCATGTGTACTTGATCAAATCAATGTATCTAAAGTAAACCAATATGTGTGCGGTTATACCAATGTAGCCTACTATAAACATACATTTGTCATTAAACCGTACATTCAAGCAGTGAACCAACCCATATTCACACAATACATAGGCCTATTATTCCTAGTAACCTATTAGTGGACATAATATTTATTTAGTACTTCAAGTTGTGTTCCTTCCCACCCAGGTTGGTTCGGCCCTGTTTACTGTCTGTGTACTGTTGTTGTCTCTGTGTACAAATTCCTTGTGTGTGTGTGCAAACATACTTGGCAATAAAGCTTCTTCTGATTCTGTTATCCCTCTCGAAAGGGATACAATTCCATAGATAAAAAATGATTTCATAATGACATCGTCATATCATAACATCTGTCATGAATGTCTTTTTCGTCCGACGTGAAATAGATTCTAGAATCTTTGTAGACAAAGACCTGGCAGAACGAAGTATTTTCAGTAAAAGACATCCCTTTCGTGGAATGACCCAGATGACTTCGCAGGGTATTCAACAGCTAAATGCATCGTAAGCAATCCACAATGTATTAGATGTATCAGTTGAAAATTGTACTGTGACTGTGCTAATGGCTGAAGATGTTTCTTACTTGCAATTGAACACGTGTAAATCTGGAGTGCTCCACACCTCAAAACGCACCGCACCGCAGTGACAACCTCCGGTGTGTTTCACAAGACCATCACGCTCCCTGCAAACAACAGATCATTTACATCAGGAGACGATCTGTGCCTCATTGGCTCATGTATTTACCAATGTATAATCAACAGACTTCATTCACGTTTTTTTTTTTTTGTGGGCAGCAAGATAAACACCCGTGTATTTTATATGTGCCCAATCTTTTTTTCGATCCCAGTTTTGTCCACGTCACTGTGAATGTCTCCATTACGCAGTGAAAGTGAAGGTTACATAGCCTACCTTTCGTCTTTAGTTACCCACGCCATTTGTTTAGCACCTTTAATTTTGTATAGGCTATGGTAACAGTGGAGTTGTTTGTCGTCTACAACCTAACCGGTTTAAACTGTTATGGCATGCTCTCCTGTAGAACATTATATAATTGGTTGATGATAACCATCGCCCTGCTTGCAAAACACACACTGTTGACTGGCTGGGTCACATGCTTCAGCCAGCTCATTTGTCCTCGGCGTCATCTGGTCCCACCCGTTCAGCTGTTGCAAAACAAGCCCGGACAAAGTCCACGATAACATCAGAGCAGAAAGAAAAACTTGTTCTCTTCGAAATAGATTGAATTGTAGTGTGTATAAATAATAATACAAATATCCTATGCTATGTCACATTGGAGTGTGTGTTGTTAAATAAAATAGAAAGTAAGACTTATAAATTCCAAATGAGCCTAAACAATTTGTATTTTGAAACAGAAGTAAGATGTGTTGTATAAAACTTTAAATTGACTGTTTGTCATGCCAATGTGGTAAAACTTTTAAACAGGCAAGTTTACCTATAAATATTATATAATATTATTATTTTTTAACATCCTGTATTAATAATGTCTGATGTTGATGACAGATTAAGTTAGTTAGATGTTAAATATTTTAAGTGATATACGCACAAACACACTCTCCTGAAAGTTCAAGGTACACGTGATCTTGAACTTTCTGAACAAAAATTCTTTTGAGTTCAGTCTGGTGATGTGGCAGCTCGTGTGATGTGAATCAGTGGGTCACGTGATAATAACCAGGAAGTTTCTAGTGAATTTAAGAACTTCTAATTGTCTTAGAAACAATTTCCTTGTAAGTTGTTCAATAGAAAATATAGCCTATCTTTGCTGTTAAAAACAAAAAGCAAAATCACTACAAATTACATTTTCACTTTAGGGGAGCAGTGGCCTAAAAGAATATCTAATTTATAACATGAACATAAATGCTGACCATGCAGCCTGTGATATTATTAGAGCACTTTCAAATGCCAAGTCTCGCGGGGTTAACATAGAGACCCAATGGCAGACAAGGCCATATATAAGCCTAAAAACAAACTGATGATTACGCTATATTAAGGATTACTATCTTGTCCTTGCCCTCTAAAACCCTCAGATGGTGATTATTTTACCATGTACATATTGTTCATTTCAGTATGATCAGGAGTGAAATAAGTTTAAATGTAACACCTTCACCACCACTCAGTTTCAAGAAAACTGGCCCAGTTGGGTGCTAGATAATCTTTTAGCAGCTGTTCATGCTCATGGAAGAATTAACAGGGACGTGGTTCCACAACGATATACTAATCGACTAAGGATGACCATCCAGATAAAAAAAAGGCTCAAAGAGCAGTTTCACAATACCATCTCTTTTTGAAGAGCAAGCTGATTAATGTTTACCTAAATTGGGTAACTATTTTGTGGAATTTATTTTAACAGCACTGATGAAAGAAACTAGCTGCTTACCAGGAGATAACCAGAAAACCTTAGAGCAAGCTTGGAGCTAGTTCATCTTGTTTGTAGCATTGTTCATGCATGGCAACACAAAGTCACATGGGAATAAACAGAAAGTTTATTGTCCACCACATAGGCCTGGTTTCACAGACAGGGCTTAGATTAAGCTAGGATTAGGCCTTAGTTCAATTAGGACGTATAAGTAGCTTTTATAAACGTGCCTTAGAGAAAAAAAACCATCATGAAACAAAACAATGGCACTGATCTATTTTAAGATTAAAACAGCTCAAACATACATTTTAGTCTAGGACTAGGCTTAAGCCTTGTCTGTGAAACCGGGCAATAGTTTACAGTAGCCTATAGAATACAGAATTAAGCCCTGACAATTATTACAATTTAAGCATTACACCTTTCTTTAATAACAGAGGTTATACAAAAACTCCAACAAGGTAAAACTTCGACAAAATCCCATCATTTTATTATTTGCAATTCCGACCCAGCTTTGTCGCAGTGGTGAACAGCTGAGTTACTGTATGTCTGCTCACCCAGAGAAAATGACCTACATTGCTGCAACAGATACTGCAGAGAGTCTGAGGCCAACATGTTTCAAAGCAATGCCATCACAAGTTGTGTTCTATATTAAGTGCACTGTGTGACACAAGTCTCACAACAGCCTCGGCTAAAACACAAATGATGTACTTCATGGAACAGTTATTTTGTAAATAAACCATGCCTTTGAGCAAACAGTCTTTTAGGGATAACAGCCTGTCATTTCTGTAGGCCTATTATATTTATAGGTTTAAAAACATTTAAAAGCACCCAGAACTGGGCCCAGGTTGTAGTTTTTGACAATTACTAGCAAGACTGGTTTAAGATAATGTCAAGTATTCCAGATTCTTCTTCTTTCTTTTTTTTTCTATCACTGTATGACATAGCCTGCTCTTTCTTTGTCTGGTCCAGACTCCAATAGTCTGATTCACCAATAGTAAAGAGAACAAACAACCCAACCAGCCAATCACTGCCTCGGGTAGGCTGCCACCAGAATAGGCCACCCTGGCATATTCTGGATACTTCCTTTTTCGATACTGTATTATAATAATTATACACTTAAAATACGGATACAAAACATACCATTCCTAAATGTTTTTTTTAATCATAAATCTTTAGTGTAAAGCATATTTCAAAGTTTTTACAAATAAAGGTTTTGACTGCGGAAGAATCTGGTCATGTGACGTATCGTAAACGTCACGCTCCTGGGTTTGTATAAATACAGTATCATTCGCATTCAACGGCAGTTCCCCTACACAGAGGACGTTTTTCAGAAGCAGATTGACTGTCAGTAAACTTTATAAAAGGTAAGACTCAACATTTAGTTGGGTTTATAACATTCTTAAAGACTTAATGTTACGTTTTTATTGTGGTTATTGAATTGGTACTGTCGTTTTCTGGATGTCTAAACGTATTGACCTGTATTATGTTATTCATAATGCGTTCCACTAAGTAATGAGCTTGAACATCTTCCGTTACCGAAATGGATGTTTTATTTAATTGTGAAGTTCATGTATTTTGCTTTCGTTTTGGTTCGTTTTGTTCTGTGTATTTTTGCTGAATCATTTTATTCTTTGAACAAAGAACCCGGATGTTACTGTACAGCCGCCATGTTAGTGAAGAGGATTTTTGGTGTTGCGCAGTAACGTTAGCTGCTACAGTTTTTAAATAAAACAAAAAGATCTTGTAGTTTTGCCCTCTTGCTAGTTTGTTTACTCGCTTTTTGAAAATTCAATAAATACTCGATAGGCTATAACTTGTAACAATCTAAATTGGCTTAATACAATTAAGACAATTTAAGACGTAGCAGCTACTTCGTATGTATTTTGCCTTTCATGTTATTTAAGGAAAATGGTTTCATAGAAAATTGTAATGCTATAACGTTATAATGCATTTTTTTCCCTCGGGTTTTTTTGGGGGGGAAGCAGTCCTTTGAAAAATGACAACCCACTGTAATAAAATTGATTTGGCTAAGGATACCATATTCCTATTTTGTCATTACTTTTTTTAATAAAAAAATAATAAGTACATTGACACACCATAGATGTATTGTAATGTAACACCGTCATGTATGATGCAGCTGTACTGTGGCAGAAAAAAGTCCCATACAAATGTTTAGCCCCACCCTAAATTCATGCCATTGGTTGAGGTTGACAGAACTGCCTCCATGATTTTCTGATTGACTAACACAGATACTAGGGATGGGCAATGCCACTCAATAGGATACCTACCAGCATCGATGTTGTTATTGATACTGATACCTCTAAACTGAACTTTGAAATTATTAAATTACTAAGAGTAAAATCTTCCCATTTAACATTATATTTGAAAGGCATTTTAACATTCAATACACCTTAATTGCAATTTATTAGATTACATTTGTTTACACATGGTTAAAATGTTTACTGTAGTGGAAATCTATAAATACTATAGTTGAACTATGGACACTGTAGTAAAACCATGGTTAATTTTCATAAGAAACTGCCAGTGACAGGGTTTTGCACCCATAAAATGCAACCTTTTTATTCTGACAGTGTATGATTTATTACATTAGTTACAGAATAGAACATGATCAATATGAACTTTTGATGTTCAATTAAATAAATGTACTAATTGCAAAAACTATGTAGGCTACAATTTTGTTTAGCCTATTAATACCAGTCGTGAATGCAGTGATGGACCGCTGTCTTTCCTCATTTGGCTGGTGTTTGGATTTCCTGTGATTTCTCATTGTGGTGGTTTAGGCTATATTATGATAATTCTGTTTCCTTAATTCATGTGATCAAAAGTAATTCCATTTTAGTAAGATCATTTTCATCTAAGTAATTTCAAACTCATCAGGCAGATGGCAACTTTGAGATAAAATACAAAAAACTTGTTAAACACGCTCCACAGCGCCACCCAGTGCATTTAATTATATCTGTGTTTTAGTGCTTTCCATTTATCATGGATTCACTGCATTTACAGACAGCAAAGCAATGTAGTAAAATTAAAATAGTATTTTTCGAAAAATAATTACGGATAGATTATTCGACTATTCGTGCACGCCCCTAGAAATAACTCAAACATATGTTTTTCTGTCCTCTGATAAGCATTGTTCTATGCTGCTTTTCCCAAAAGCATAAATGGTTTCATATTATAGGCTACTTTTGGTACAGTATCGATATAGGCCTATCAATACTTCAGCATCAATACTCCCTTTCCTAACAGATACTTGTTAGAGCATAGGGACATTTTATGTGTGGTGTTCCAAAAAATACTAGGCTATCTCTTTCTGAAGCTTTAAGCATTCATGGAAGAGCTCTGCCTTTATTTTGCTCTAACTGAATGTGTACCAATATATTGGTTTATGCATGGTTGCTAATCTTATTTTTCTTAATTTGTTTACAGATGCAGATCTTTGTCAAGACCCTCACTGGTAAGACCATCACCCTTGAGGTTGAGCCAAGTGACACCATTGAGAATGTGAAGGCCAAGATCCAGGACAAAGAAGGCATTCCCCCTGACCAGCAGAGGTTGATCTTTGCTGGCAAACAGCTGGAAGATGGACGCACACTGTCCGACTACAACATCCAGAAAGAGTCCACCTTGCATCTGGTGCTGCGTCTCAGGGGAGGCATGCAGATCTTCGTCAAGACCTTGACAGGCAAGACCATCACTCTCGAGGTCGAGCCAAGCGACACCATTGAGAATGTCAAGGCAAAGATTCAGGACAAAGAAGGCATTCCCCCTGACCAGCAGAGGTTGATCTTTGCTGGCAAACAGCTGGAAGATGGACGCACACTGTCCGACTACAACATCCAGAAAGAGTCCACCTTGCATCTGGTGCTGCGTCTCAGGGGAGGCATGCAGATCTTCGTTAAGACCCTCACTGGTAAGACCATCACCCTTGAGGTCGAGCCAAGTGACACCATTGAGAATGTCAAGGCAAAGATTCAGGACAAAGAAGGCATTCCCCCTGACCAGCAGCGGTTGATCTTTGCTGGCAAACAGCTGGAAGATGGACGCACACTGTCCGACTACAACATCCAGAAGGAGTCCACCTTGCATCTGGTGCTGCGTCTCAGGGGAGGCATGCAGATCTTCGTCAAGACCTTGACGGGCAAGACCATCACTCTCGAGGTCGAGCCAAGCGACACCATTGAGAATGTCAAGGCAAAGATCCAGGACAAAGAAGGCATTCCCCCTGACCAGCAGAGGTTGATCTTTGCTGGCAAACAGCTGGAAGATGGACGCACACTGTCCGACTACAACATCCAGAAGGAGTCCACCTTGCATCTGGTGCTGCGTCTCAGGGGAGGCATGCAGATCTTCGTTAAGACCCTCACTGGTAAGACCATCACCCTTGAGGTCGAGCCAAGTGACACCATTGAGAATGTCAAGGCAAAGATTCAGGACAAAGAAGGCATTCCCCCTGACCAGCAGAGGTTGATCTTTGCTGGCAAACAGCTGGAAGATGGACGCACACTGTCCGACTACAACATCCAGAAGGAGTCCACCTTGCATCTGGTGCTGCGTCTCAGGGGAGGCATGCAGATCTTCGTCAAGACCTTGACGGGCAAGACCATCACTCTCGAGGTCGAGCCAAGCGACACCATTGAGAATGTCAAGGCAAAGATCCAGGACAAAGAAGGCATTCCCCCTGACCAGCAGAGGTTGATCTTTGCTGGCAAACAGCTGGAAGATGGACGCACACTGTCCGACTACAACATCCAGAAGGAGTCCACCTTGCATCTGGTGCTGCGTCTCAGGGGAGGCATGCAGATCTTCGTTAAGACCCTCACTGGTAAGACCATCACTCTCGAGGTCGAGCCAAGCGACACCATTGAGAATGTCAAGGCAAAGATTCAGGACAAAGAAGGCATTCCCCCTGACCAGCAGAGGTTGATCTTTGCTGGCAAACAGCTGGAAGATGGACGCACACTGTCCGACTACAACATCCAGAAGGAGTCCACCTTGCATCTGGTGCTGCGTCTCAGGGGAGGCATGCAGATCTTCGTCAAGACCTTGACGGGCAAGACCATCACTCTCGAGGTCGAGCCAAGCGACACCATTGAGAATGTCAAGGCAAAGATCCAGGACAAAGAAGGCATTCCCCCTGACCAGCAGAGGTTGATCTTTGCTGGCAAACAGCTGGAAGATGGACGCACACTGTCCGACTACAACATCCAGAAAGAGTCCACCTTGCATCTGGTGCTCCGTCTCAGGGGAGGCATGCAGATCTTCGTTAAGACCCTCACTGGTAAGACCATCACTCTCGAGGTCGAGCCAAGCGACACCATTGAGAATGTCAAGGCAAAGATTCAGGACAAAGAAGGCATTCCCCCTGACCAGCAGAGGTTGATCTTTGCTGGCAAACAGCTGGAAGATGGACGCACACTGTCCGACTACAACATCCAGAAGGAGTCCACCTTGCATCTGGTGCTGCGTCTCAGGGGAGGCATGCAGATCTTCGTCAAGACCTTGACGGGCAAGACCATCACTCTCGAGGTCGAGCCAAGCGACACCATTGAGAATGTCAAGGCAAAGATCCAGGACAAAGAAGGCATTCCCCCTGACCAGCAGAGGTTGATCTTTGCTGGCAAACAGCTGGAAGATGGACGCACACTGTCCGACTACAACATCCAGAAAGAGTCCACCTTGCATCTGGTGCTCCGTCTCAGGGGAGGCATGCAGATCTTCGTTAAGACCCTCACTGGTAAGACCATCACCCTTGAGGTCGAGCCAAGCGACACCATTGAGAATGTCAAGGCAAAGATCCAGGACAAAGAAGGCATTCCCCCTGACCAGCAGAGGTTGATCTTTGCTGGCAAACAGCTGGAAGATGGACGCACACTGTCCGACTACAACATCCAGAAGGAGTCCACCTTGCATCTGGTGCTGCGTCTCAGGGGAGGCATGCAGATCTTCGTCAAGACCTTGACAGGCAAGACCATCACTCTCGAGGTCGAGCCAAGCGACACCATTGAGAATGTCAAGGCAAAGATCCAGGACAAAGAAGGCATTCCCCCTGACCAGCAGAGGTTGATCTTTGCTGGCAAACAGCTGGAAGATGGACGCACACTGTCCGACTACAACATCCAGAAAGAGTCCACCTTGCATCTGGTGCTGCGTCTCAGGGGAGGCATGCAGATCTTCGTTAAGACCCTCACTGGTAAGACCATCACCCTTGAGGTCGAGCCAAGCGACACCATTGAGAATGTCAAGGCCAAGATCCAGGACAAAGAAGGCATTCCCCCTGACCAGCAGAGGTTGATCTTTGCTGGCAAACAGCTGGAAGATGGACGCACACTGTCTGACTAAAACATCCAGAAAGAGTCCACCTTGCATCTGGTGCTGCGTCTCAGGGGAGGTTCAGATATTTAAACTGACAGTCTCGGGGATGGACATTTAATTCTTTCAGTAGCCCCATGCACTCACCACTTTATCACCCCCTCTCTTCATACTTTAACTGAATCATTACATATGTATTAATGTTTTTCCACCTGTTTTTTTATCTTCAAAATGATTAAATAAAAGCATTGAAATGAAGAATATTGTGGGGTTTTTTTTTTTTTTTTTTTTTGCATGACTAGTAATACAAGATCTGGTAAAAGTTAAAATGAGTGAAATGGGACTTATTTTCAAACCAATAAAAATTAAAATGTTCAGGATAATGCAAAAGCAACACTACAAGTAGTACTTGCATAATTAGACTGTCTTTGTAGGCATACAAATATAAATTCCTGGAGCCAAGCACTAGCATTTCTATAGATAATGGATCTAAGTTGGGGTGATGTTTCTTATCGTTTGCTTTTTATTTTAAATGGTGGTGTTAAGGAGATCCTGGTAAGAACCTGGGGTGAAAATCCAGTTCAGTAACACCTGTGGTTGTCCTGTTCTAACAGCTGCTGCTATAAAAAAAAATTTTTAAATGGTAAGATGGTGCCATCGAGTGTCTGTTAAAATAACCCAGCTGAAATTCTAACTTGACTTTAAACAAATCATTATGAAATGTGTACCACCTTTTATAGCCTATTTGTTGTTGGTCAGCAATTATTAACTGAAGTAACTTTTTTTTAAAGGAAACATGCTCATAGAAGACCAAAGTCAATTAATTTTAATTGGGCTTTCCTGTTAAATGTTTAAAAAAAAGCCTTAAGTCATGGAAATTACTATGATGTTTTTAGAATTAGCTATAGTGTTTGTGTAGAGAAAAATGCTTGCAAACAAGCAGAATGTCATTTTAGTGTCTTATTCGAGACATTTGTGCACCAAACCGATAACTAATCGTTAAATATTATTCCAAATTGTTATTTCACATGGAAATCGCAATAGGCCTATATGCAGTTATTTCTAAAAATAAATCCTTGCCTATAGCAACGAATGGAAAGGTCATGGAAATGAAGTCTACTGGAACACGCGGCATCCTTAAACAGCTGGTAAATGAAAAACAGTTATAGCATTACATTACAATACGTTTACATTCCATAACATTACTTAATGAGGTACTATGAATTTATTCACTGCATTTATTAATCTAGGTCAATTTATTAATCATTTATAATTCATTCATATTCCTTAATTATTCATAATGTTAATTTACAACTTAAAATGTAATAGTATACATTAAATTAACACAATGAATATAAACCTATATTAATATGCTGTAAAAGTATTTATTACATGATACCGGTATATTAACTAATGTAAACAAATTGGACCTCAAGTGTTGCCACCATTATATGGAAGGGCTATATCCGCTGAGTAGGCTATAGCAGAAAGCTTTGAGACGTTACTTTTGTTTCGTCCTTAAAAAAACTCGTTACCACTTATTTACTGCTCGCATCAGTTAAATTAATTGATAGTAATGTTGACAAAATAAAGAAATATATCCGGAACAAAAGGAGAAAACAGAAATCAAAAAGTTTCGACGAAATGTTTTAGGGGGAGAACTGGCTACAGTCGTCAGCGCAGAGCAGTTGACAGCTGCTTCGAGGCCGTCAATGACACAGGAACATGGCTCAGAGCTGGAGTAACTTTTTCTTCTCTCTACTCGATTACAAGACGGAGAAATTTGTCATCGCTAAAAACAAAAAGATCGGAGTTCTGTTCAGACTCTTTCAGCTGGCGGTGATTGGATATCTGATCGGGTAGGTGTCTTGTGCTTCTCTAAATCTAGACGTTGCGGTGAAATCTTCAAAAGTAAATGTTTTAAAAGGTCGTTACGTGTTTGTTTATGCTCACATTGGTCACTGTATATTAATTTAATCAAACCGAATATAAGACGAAAGTTAACGCACCACGTCTGCACGTCACCACGATGTTATTTATATCAAGTAAGTTAGCCTATAAGACTGAAACCATTGCACTGTCCCTGCACGTTTTGCATGAAGTGAAAAATACTTCTGTTTTGATTTAGATTCGTAATCACCATTTAGTCCATGGATTTATTAGAACCAGACAGTTTCTTCACTTCTGCTTCCCAATTCTTTCACGTGCTTTGTGGGCTTCATACACCATGGAACTGTTGCAAAAGGTTCTGAATGTAAGATGACCTGGATCACATGTGCTGTGGCCACATTCTACACACAAAAGCACCAGCCCGCTTAACGCCATTTAAAGCTGCTTTATTCTTGTCCTTTACAAAAAAAAAAAAAAAAAACTATTATTAAACTTAAATGAATGTGGTTATTATGTCCTTTGTGGTGTCTTGGCCATATATGTGACTTATAGCATTACTCTATCACACCAACCCTAAATAACCATTAAAAATATATTTCTTACAATGTAAATTGTAGTTCCCTTTCGAACGGTCACTTCGTATTGCGTAGCTATACGCAGTGGGGAAACTCCTTTTCCTCGATTTACTGAAGCCTATATGTAAAACGCATTTGCAGCTGCACAGCTAGCACACTGAGCGTCTGACCCGCTCATAGGCTGTGCTGCAGCAACTGCACATCCAATGGCGCGGGCGAATCTGACGCACGACCAATGAGCTAGCCCAACGTCAGAGCCCGTCGAGGGGGCGTGGCCCAGCCTATATAGACCCCCGAATTCGCCATTATAGCAGATTTTGATAGCAGACATTATAGCAGACTCCTTCAGCAACAGTACACATGTACCTGAGCTTTTTACTGTAGTATTCGCCGTCGAACAAGCCTTTCAGCCTGAGCGAGCTTCTCTTCAGCAGACTTCGCCTGCACATCGATTGTCTCCTGACGCCGTCTCACCTGTGGCTATCCGTCGACATCCTATATCCTTTGTATTATTATTTTGTGAATTATTTTCAGTATGCCTCGTTCATCCTGCGCCACGTGCGGAGGCCGTCTGCACGAGGCAGACCAGCACACGAGCTGCATTTCCTGCCTGGGTGTCGACCACGCAGAGAATGCTCTCTCTGCCGGCGGATGTGAGGCCTGCGACAGCATGCCTATCTCCGTGCTGCGCAATCGGCTAGCTCTCTCCCGGGACGGCGAGGCCGCTTCAACCACGCTTTCCATTCCGAGGAAGAAGTGGCGGGCCTCGTCTCCTTCGGCGGATCTCTCGAGCGCGACGACAGCCTATCCATCGCCGCTTCTGAGGACGAGTGGCCGGGCTCTCTCGACCCCGTCACCGCTTCTCAATCGTTGGCCAGTGGATTAGCGACCAGGACGAACTCCGACGCCGAAATGCTTCGGATCCTGACGAAGGCCGTCGCGGACCTCGACCTCGAGTGGGCCTCGCCCGAGGAGCCGCCTCGTAGTCGGCTGGATGGATGGTTTCTGGAGGGGCGCCAGCAGGCCCCGCGTCACAAACCGGCGCCATTTTTCCCCGAGGTCCACGAGGAGCTAACCAAGGCCTGGCGCGCTCCATACTCAGCACGTGTGGGATCCGCAGTTTCCGCGATGCTCTCCTCCGTGGATGGCGCAGCGAAAAAAAGGTTATGAGTCTTTGCCGCCCCTCGAAGAGGCCGTGGGAGCTCATCTTTGCCCGAACACTGCAGCTAGCTGGCGAGCTAGAGCCGCTCATCCCAACAAACCCTGCCGTAACACCTCAGCCCTCGCTGGACGCGCGTACGCCGCCTCCGGTCAGGCTGCATCGGCCCTGCACACGATGGCCGTGTTGCAGGTCTACCAGGCCAAACTCCTCCGGTCCATGGACGAGGCTGGCCCGGACCCGGAGACCTTTCGGGACCTGAGGAGTGCTACGGACTTAGCGCTGCGTGCTACTAAGTCTACAGCACAGGCCATCGGCAGAAATATGGCTAGTTTGGTCGTGCTCGAGCGCCATCTGTGGCTTAACCTCACCGAAATCAAGGAGGCCGACAAAACGAGGTTTCTCGACGCCCCGGTGTCCAGCTCCGGTCTCTTCGGCCCGGCGGTGAAGGGATTCTCGGAGAGGTACACGGAGGCACAGAAAGCGTCCCAGGCCATGCGACACTTCTTGCCGAAACGTTCGAGCTCCGCGTCCAGCAAGCCCAAGCCGCCGCCTTCGCCTCATCCAGCCAAGCCGGCGAAACAGGCCTCTCAGCCCCGCCCTGCGGCTGATAGCCAGCGCCAGTCAAGGCCCGCGAAGCGCTACCCGCTCCCCAGGCGTCAAGGCCCTCGACCCAGCGCCGTGGCCGACCAGGCGCCTCCGAAGTCGTCCTAGCACGGAGGGGAAAGAGAGAGGGCTCGTGTCTCGCACTAGCCGGACCACCCTCGAAGAAACCAGCAAAACTTCCCACAGCTCCCTGTTCAGTTCAGGCGGCTGGGGATTTTATTATTGTAAACAGGCCCGCAGCAGTGAGCGCGTCTCTGCAAACAAACGCCGTTTTCACGGCGACCCAAATAAAGCACAAAAAGAGCATGTTTCACAATCACAACACACGGGTTCACGGTCCCCCTTCACTAGGCAGCCCCCGCCCTGTTGTAACACTGACTTCCCCCCGGGCAAAATCCTATATAGATGTTATTCGATCTGCGTCATCAATGTTTGCGGCGGCCATATTGTTGACATAGAAACCACGGCAACTGTCAGTCTGTCAATTGACAAGCGAGGCAGCGTCGGTATTATCCATGGTATTATCACTGTATTTTTTTTTTTTTTAAACAGCGTGATGGTGTGTTGTGTAATACACGGCTGTTCTAACAACAGCAATAAGAACCCCGGAGTTAGTTTTTATGATTGCGATAAGTTACCGACTGTCAGAAAATGTGAAGGGAAGGAGACAGAGTTGAGCCAGCGCAGGAGAGGCTAGCTAGGATAAATAGGTTAAACTTTCAGCCAACTCCCCATAGAAAAGTCTGTTCCCATCCTTTTACCACAGGTTTCACACATAATCCGTGTGCAATGCGTGTGCGGTGCGTATACGGTACAGAAGCAGGACGCGCAATACTTTATATGCTGCATGCATTTGCAGTGCGTAACTGATCCGCGGCTGTACCACAAACACCCCGGTACTCACTATTTTTATTTTAACACATACTCACTATTATTCCATGCATTACTTCTATATATTAAGTTGCTCAAGCAAGTGGTCAAATATGTAACCATGTACTTATATTAAAATCGCAAACATTTTAAATGAAAACTTAAAATTGACAAAAACAACCGACTCATGCCTTTTCTTTTGCATTTACATTTTAATACAACAAATCTTGCATGTCACAAAGAACTTGTTTTTCCACCTCCACGAATGAGATGAGCGTCGTTCATTATGTTGCCTTGTTGAGGTGCATTGTAGTTTGTATACGGATACTGTATGAACGAGATTGTTATAAATATCCGGATAAGTTACGGCTGGCAAAGTGGCAATAAGGACGGATCTTTACTTAAGCTTGATTGGTGTGGATCCACATCAAATAATAGCATTATCTTCTCTTGATACCGACGAGATAAAGCCAGGCTACTGCTCCCCTCAACTCAAATCTGCGCACGGTTAGGGGCAGCAGGACAGATGTCATGTCAACAATATGGCCGCGGTTAGCTAATTCCGGTGTTTGCGAATAAGGTCTATAGTCAGTCAAACACTCAGTATGTGCACAAATCACATTATAAGGGTATCAGGTCCCCCTATGTTAGGCGGTCCCCCCCATTCAGTGTGTCACGCCCTAGCCACACGAGTGATGGCCTGGCAAGCCATTCCTGGTGTGTCGAGTTGGGTCATAAACACTATAAAGCGAGGCTACTCGCTCCAATTCTCTCGCAGACCCCCGAAATTCCAGGCGGTTATCGAGACATCGGTGAGAAGCGGCGTGAATCACGTGCTTCGCACCGAAGTTCAGGAATTATTAGCAAAAGGAGCGATAGAGTCAGTCCCTCCCGCGCTAATGTATTCGAGGTTTTACAGCCGCTATTTTCTAATTCCAAAGAAAGACGGCGGGCTCAGACCCATACTAGATCTGAGGCGTTTGAACAGGGCTCTCATGAGACGGCCTTTCAAAATGTTAACACTCAAACAAATTCTCGCGCAGGTTCGCCCGGGGGACTGGTTTGTTTCAATGGATCTGAAAGATGCATACTTTCATATTCAGATCAACCTGTGTCACAGGCCATTTTTGAGATTCGCCTTCGAGGGGAGGGCATATCAATACACCGTTCTGCCTTTCGGTCTGGCTCTGGCACCCTGTACATTCACGAAATGTATGGATGCAGCGCTCTCCCCGCTGAAAAGCCAGGGAGTGCGTGTGCTGAATTATCTCGACGACTGGCTGGTGCTAGCGCAGTCGAGAGACGAACTAATAGTTCACAGGGATTTGATTCTTAGCCATTTAAAGTGCCTGGGTCTCACAATCAATGTTGCCAAAAGCGAACTAAACCCCAGCCAGACTGTGGTCTTTCTGGGCACGGTTTTAGACTCGGTGACAATGAAAGCGCGGCTCACTCAAGAGCGCATGCTCTCTGTGCAGACACTGGTAGCGAGCGCGCGCCTCTGAAGAGGTTTCAGAGACTGCTTGGTCTAATGGCAGCTGCATCATCAGTACTCCACATGGGATTACTGCACATGCGCCCGCTGCAGCACTGGCTGAAACGCCGTGTGCCAACCCATGCATGGCAGTCAGGCAGCCTGCGCATTATGGTGAATCAGGGGTGTTTGAGAACACTGATTCCCTGGCGGGCTCAGGACTGGTACCGCAAGGGGGTGACCATGGGGATAGTTTCCAGGAGGAAAGTGTTTTTTACAGATGCATCCAACATGGGTTGGGGAGCGCTGCACGAGGGCAAGCCTGCCTCCGGCCTCTGGTCGAGCACGGAGCAGAGCTTACATATCAACTGTCTGGAAATGAAAGCAGTTGGTTTGGCCCTGAAAGCTTTTGTGTCAAACCTCAGGGGTCACCACGTCTTGGTCCGTACAGACAACGTGTCTGTGGTGGCCTACATAAATCGCCAGGGTGGCATCAGGTCAGGCAACCTGTACGCTATGGCGAGGGACCTCCTCATGTGGGCACAAGCCAATCTGAGCTCTCTGAGAGCAGCGCATGTCCCGGGCGTCCAGAATGTGGGCGCGGATATGCTCTCAAGGGGCAACACTCCCCTAGGCGAGTGGTCCCTGAACCCTCAGACGGTCAGACTAATATGGGAGAGGTTCGGCGAGGCCGAAGTCGACCTTTTCGCCTCGAGAGCCAACACCCACTGCAGGGTGTTTTTCTCGAAAAACAGGGATGCGCTGGCTCATCTCTGGCCCAGCCGCCCCCTTTACGCGTTTCCTCCCGTCTCGATGATCCCACAGGTTATCGAGCGGGTCAGGGAGAGCGGATGCCCAGTCCTTCTGGTGGCTCCTTTCTGGAAATCCAGACCTTGGTTTCCGGAACTGGTTCAGTTGTCAGACACGACCCCCTGGCCTGTTCCGATGAGGAAGGATCTCCTCACACAGGCCAACGGAACGATGTGGCATTCCCGACCCGATTTATGGGCCCTCCATGTGTGGCCCCTAAACGGGTATCCGGGGACCTTCCTGACAGGGTCTTAAGCACTATCACTGAAGCAAGGGCCCCGTCTACTCGGCGCCTTTATGCTTTAAAGTGGTCGGGTTTTTCCAGCTGGTGCTCGAGAAATCGTATTGACCCAGAGTCATGTGAGGTTTCAGTGGTGCTCTGCTTCCTGCAGGAGCTACTGGACGCGGGCCGCACCCCGTCCACGCTCAAAGTTTATGTGGCAGCCATCGCAGCGCATCATGCTCTGGTGGCTGGCCAATCACTAGGAAGGAATGACCTGGTGGTAAAGTTTCTGAAGGGTGCTAGGAGGATTAACCCCTCCAGGCCCCCTTCGGTGCCGCCTTGGGACCTCTCCACGGTCCTTAGGGCCCTGAGGGGACCACCTTTTGAGCCGCTCCAGTCGGTTGATCTAAAACCACTTTCGCTAAAGACTGCTCTCCTGTTGGCATTGGCATCTATAAAGCGAGTGGGAGATCTGCAGGCCCTCTCAGTGAGTCCTGCATGTTTGGAGTTTGGATTGGATGACTCCAGAGTCATTCTCAAACCCAGGCATGGTTATGTACCCAAGGTGCTCTCAACGCCGTTTAGAGCACAAGTTATTACGCTATTAGCCCTTCCCCCTTCTGCCGAGGATGGGGAGGTTAATCTTCTCTGCCCTGTCAGGGCGTTGAGAATCTATTTGGAGCGTTCTGCTTCTACTTGGCCAGGTGGAACCAGGGATTGAACCGGGGGTTCACAGACAACCTACATGAACCACTGAGCCACTGCCGCCCCCACTGAGCCACTGCCGCCCCATATGTTATTGGGTTCTGGCTTGTTCTGTTAGCTCAGGGGTCCTGAGTGGCAGGGCAACCAGTTACTCAGGGTGCGGCGTTTTGCACGGTGTCCCCACTGCGTATAGCTACGCAATACGAAGTGACCGTTCGAAAGGGAACTACTCGGTTACTATCGTAACCTCAGTTCCCTGAGATAGGGAACGAGTATTGCGTAGCCGGCCGCACTATGGTAACTAGTGAAGTTGTCGCTTCAGTCGTATAAACCTGCTATAATGGCGAATTCGGGGGTCTATATAGGCTGGGCCACGCCCCCTGGACGGGCTCTGACGTTGGGCTAGCTCATTGGTCGTGCGTCAGATTCGCCCGCGCCATTGGATGTGCAGTTGCTGCAGCACAGCCTATGAGCGGGTCAGACGCTCAGTGTGCTAGCTGTGCAGCTGCAAATGCGTTTTACATATAGGCTTCAGTAAATCGAGGAAAAGGAGTTTCCCCACTGCGTATAGCTACGCAATACTCGTTCCCTATCTCAGGGAACTGAGGTTACGATAGTAACCGAGCAGTTACTTACTGTTGTTTATTTTCTTTTATTGGTGTGTCCTCTTAAAGGTGGGTTTTTATTTGGAAGAAAGGATATCAGGAGACTGATGAAGCCATCCAGAGTTCTGTGACCACCAAACTCAAGGGTGTAGATTTCACCAACAGCTCTCAGTTTGGTCTGCAGCTATGGGGTGCAGAGGACTATGTCATCCCTCCACAAGTAAATACACTTCTTACCTGTATATTTGCTTCGAAAGAAATGTATAGTTCCTATTTGTAAACCATATGTACTCTGTTAATAGACTTTCTCAAAAACTATCTCCATTTTATCTGTTAGATTATGGAGATAACTAGATAATGACATGACATACACATTGTTTGCTAAGAATTTAAACAATAAACATTCATCGTGTTTATAATGTTACATAATGGAAAATCTATTTTCATCTACATGTCCTCTAAATGAGAAGCTGTTTTTTTTTTTTGTCATAATTGTGTTTAAATTCATGCAGAACAGTTGAATCTTACAGCTGAGAGACTGATAGAGGGGTATTTATTTAAAGTCTTTAATATTTTTCACCATTTATATTTTAGTTTAGAATTAATCAAACCAAAGCCTTCTATTCCAATTCAGTCCCCTAATGCTTTTCCAAAACTGTGTTTGCAGAAAAATGTTATGCCTTCATAATGTTCATTAATGGCATTGAAGCTTTGACGACAAAAGATGCTGTGTAAGATGAGCTGGATCAAATATGCCACAGGCAGCTTTTGGGGAGTCTAGTTTTTATTTAAAGCTTTTGCCTTGGAAGCTCATTCCCCTGGGCTTTTATTAGATGCAAGAATTGTTTTCTCCTTTTATCAGATAAAAAATGTATTTACTAAAGCCTTAAATTGTGAAGCTTGTTGGTTCAGTGTTGAAGAGTTGAAGCGAGAGTATCACATTCCATTAATTTGCTGTTGAAAATGTTTTATGTAAGAATATATCATCAATTATTTTTAACAGGGGGACAGGGTCTTCTTTATTGTGACAAATTACCTAGTGACACCAAACCAAAGACTGGGTTTCTGCCCTGAGGTAAGAGACAGGTTGTTGTTTTATTTTAGTTTTATTAGTTTTAATTAGAGAGCTGTATTCATATAGAAGTTTGAGGAGTTTTTGATCTCTGTACATTTTAAAACCACTGAGTTTGTTGTTGTGTTCACTTCATTCTACTTATTTCAGAGTCCGAAAGTGCCAGATGGTTTTTGTACTAATAACAGTGAATGTGTCGAAGGGGAAACTGTTATAGCAGGCCATGGTAAGCACAAAACCTGCATGAAATACCAAGCCTTTTGTTCCCTTATGACTGTACGTCTGATTTTACATAAAAGGGAAAACTTTGTGAAAGTGCAAGATTCTTGTTCAGGAAAAAAAGGATATTACATTGTTTTATACTACGACCCACTAGTATGTTTAAAATTCCGAGCCTTAAAGGGACTACATTTTACTGTTGTTTATTCAGGAGTGAAGACAGGCCGCTGTCTAAACGACACAGGAACCTGTGAGATTCAAGGATGGTGCCCTGTTGAGCATGGCCGCACACCAACGTAAGTGTTTTGTACCAGTTGCAGTCTTTGCAATATGATTCCCTATTCATGCCTGTATGAAACTATTTAAAAAAAAAAAAAAAAACATATTAGTGTTGTACCTGTAATGTGCCAAATGTTGCAACAGGGAGCCCATGCTGGCAAAGGCAGAAAACTTCACAGTCTTTGTAAAGAACTTCATCAAGTTTCCAAAATTTACCTTCTCCAAGTAAGTGAAGCCTAGAGCCATCATGTCAGTGTTTATTTTTTATTAAAGCCAATAGAATACATTTTCTCACTGTTCAGAAACTAAATTAGTATGCTCAGACAGAAATGCCACTAATTGCAAATGCATTTAGTAATCTAACAAGTGATTGGAACTTGTAATGCATTCATAGTTTTATGCTCATGTGTGCATGCCACATATGCTGTTGACAGAACTGAACTAACCTACGATAGTCTTTTTTAAAGCTTTTCAACTAGGTTTTCTACAGATTATTGTTTTGCATGTTATTTCCTTTGCAAAGCGGCATCAGAGTTTAAGGTTGAGCAACAATAACATGCCTAAAAAAAGCACAGGATGTTCTGTTGTGATTTCAAACTCATGCTAAATAAGAAAGTTCATGGTTCACTCATGAGTGTTAGATCATTTCTGTAGCTCAAAAGCAAAGTGTCATCTGGCAAGCAGTTATTTAAAGAGCCCATACAATCCTGAACACATGAACTAATCCAAACTGATCTCTGCCATATTGCAATCCCGCCTTGTTTTTTCTTTTTACCAGAAATAGAGTAATTCCTCACTGAGTCGTTACAAAGCCACATACTAAAAAACAGAGAAAACCAGCAAAACCAAATGCTTTATAAAAAGTTTGTAGCTGTGTGAAAGAGTAGACCTGCTTGCACACAGTAAAGTGTTATGTTTGGATACTGATGGCACAGCACAGGCTGCTCTGAATATCTGACGCTTACTCATCTCTATTTATACCAGCACAGCGTGTGGTGCATACACTGAGACTTACTGTCTTGATATCCTGTGCTCAGACAGGCTGACAGTTGTTCATCTGCCCTTACATATGTTCTCATGATGCTGCATGATCTTCACAATGTCATCATATATATTAAATAATGTTTCACCCCTTTTTCCTTTTCTCTCTTCTCAAGAGCAAACGTCCTGCCTACCACCAACAGCACATACCTCAAGACATGCAGATATGACAAGGACCATCATCCCTATTGTCCCATCTTTCTTGTGGGAGATGTGATTAACTGGACTGGATACAATTTCCAGAACTTGGCAACAAAGGCAAGTGCTTCAAACGACATGACAAGTTAAAACAAGCAAGTCTTCAACATTGTAAACACATGGTTGATGTTCAAGCAGCAGCTCAGTGTATAAGCAAATAGAGATCAAATCCTAACTTGTCCACATTGAGACTAGCTTCTTTTTTAGTGTATAATTTTGGGATTTTTGTAAAAGCTACTCGTACCTATAATATCAAGAGGTTGATCCAGGCACCCCGAAAAGTATTTGGACACTTAAGCCACACTTAAATATGTTTGAACATCTTCTCCCGGTTTCACAGACAAGGTTTAAGCTAGTCTCAGACTAAAATGCATGTTTGAGCTGTTTTAACTGAAAGCAACTTGCACTGATAAATCCTAAAATAGATCAGTGCCATTGTTTTGTCTCAAGATGCACACCAGTAGTGTGTTTAGTTTTTTCTAAGGCACGTTTATAAAAGCTACTTAAATGTCCTAATTGAACTAAGGCCTAATCCTAGCTTTATGTGTCTGCTATATTTCAAATATAACAAAATATTACAAGCAAAACAGTGACCTGTGATAGTGTTAGAAGCTTCATTTAGAATGGGTTGAAATTATAAACAGTTTGCACTGCATGCAATCATTTTCCAGCAAAAGTGTCATCTGGCACTTTATGGATTAAGCATATTTAATTTTTATATGCTAAATAAAAAAACAAAAAAAAACTGGAACAGTTAACTCCCCAAACTGCAAAATAATATCATCATGCACCATATTTGGCACAAAGTGTAATTTTAATAAGATGATAATGTTTTTATTGTTATATTTTCTTTTCTTTCATATACACACACAGGGTGGTTCAATTGCAGTAGGAATCGAGTGGAATTGTGATCTGGATAAAGATGAATCTCAGTGTAACCCTGAATATAGCTTCACACGCTTGGATTCCTCTGACAAGTCACAGCACTCAGTCACCTCTGGTTACAACTTTAGGTATAGCTCTGATTCATTGATTTTGGATTTATTGATTTTGCTAACCACACAGCCTTTCACCAAAACTCCACCCACTAAAACATGTCAGCAAACTTGACCATACAAAATGATTCATTGACAGAGAGCATTTCTGAGTGACTAGTTTTCTGTAATCACAATGTTCTCCACCTTAACTTTTCTTTCAAAGCATTTTGATGGTGAGCACTGTATCATTACACTGGCTGACATGTTTCTGTCATTTTCAAGATTTGCTCGATACTACAGTGATGCAGCAGGTCAAACCTATCGGAATCTGTTTAAAGTGTATGGCATTCGCTTTGATATATTAGTGAATGGAAAGGTAAGAGATAATCAAAATGATTACAGATTCCTCTTGTTGAGGTCATGGTGAAATAGTCAAAATATGGTATTTACTTTGCCAGCTTATTTGTTTTCTAGGCTGGGAAATTCAGTATCATTCCTACAGTGATCAAGATTGGCTCTGGACTTGCTTTAATGGGTGCTGTGAGTATATAAGCTAGTTCCCGACAGTGTCACTAATGGTTGCTATATAAAATATGTTTCTCACACTCTTGTGTGATCGGTGCTCATCTCATTCCACAGGGGGTTTTTGTCTGTGACATGATTCTGCTCTACATGATGAGCAAAAGCTCCTTCTACAGAGAGACAAAATTCGAGGCAATCACAAAGTAAGATTATACTTGTGATTTCATATGATGTACTAATGTGTCGTGTGCTTTTTAAACAGTTGAACTGCAGTGTATTTGTTATTATTTACATATGGTTTCCATTCATACTATTTGCACCTTTAGAAAACAATCTGGAAAGCACAGAGAGAGAAAGCATGTAAGACACCACGGTCATCGTCGACAAGATGGGCGACACAAGAGGGAGGAGAAACAGGAAACAGAGATGCAGCCATTGACATCAGTGTCATCTCAGCCCAATAACAACCCAGAGAATCAGATCCAGCCCACAAGCTCAGCGCTCAAAACCCACAGTCCTGAGAGAAAGCCACAGGCTACAGTGTCATTCAGGACAGAAAAACAGACCATTTCTCCTGTTTCAACTTTGAGAACACCACGCAACCAGTAGAGGATTTTTCTGACGCTCATTCCCATTGGATTTACTGTGGATGTATGAAGGGAGTTGTTATAACGGGTCTGTGCTCAGTCATACCAAAGATGAATAGTGCCAGTTTCGTTTATGCTCTCCTACACTCTTAAAATGATTCTACACAGTACCAAATTTGGGTTCTTCAGACAGAACAGAGCTGGTCACAATTACATGTTCTGTTAAACTAAAAAGAGAAAAAGACAAGATTGGTAGGAAAACAGTTACAAATTAAGTTAAAATTTATATACATTTTAAGAAAGAAACCCTTTACCTGTTGAGAGTGTGCTGACAGTCTATGTAATAGGAATTATGTCGAACGTCGCATGACCAAACCGGAACACTGGTCTTATCACATCCGCTTGTCTGAGAAAGTGTTAACAGCCGTTTGAACTGACGCCGATATCTATGGACTTTTAAGGTAATCAGCTAACCTACCTAGTTCACTTTGTTATATGCATTTATTCTATTTAAATATTTAAACGTTAGTGTGAGGATTTAAAAAAAAAAACTTTTAGATATCAATCTGCATATGCGAGGGATATTGGTTATGCTCATCTTTGCTTGCTCCTTTTAATTTATATTGAGTAAAACAGCTAATTTTTCACGTAGCACATACAAAAGACCTGAACCGGAAGCGATGTGATCTGTTTTACAGAATACGGAAGTTAAGGTGCACATAACGCCTATTGAATGGCTGAGCTCCAGAAAACCAGTAATGAGGTGGCTTTAACAGTTACAGATTTGAAAAACAAAAAGGTGGGAATAAAGAACCCTAAACTCTAACACAAAGAACCCTTTCAGCAAGGTGTTCTTCATGACGATACGGTTCTAAATAGAACTTTTACTACGTGTAAAGAACCATCTTTTTTAGAGTGTAGTGTTTTAAATGCCAATGGATGTTTTTGTTACAAAATTATTTATTGTAAATCAGACCTGACACCAAAAACTGTCAAACCAAGGTTGAATAAATAGTAAAATATTTGAAGAACAATGCTTAGGTCTCTGGTTTGCTTTCATTTTGAATAAATGTGAAAACAGTACAATCTCAAAAATGTATGACAAATTTAAAAAAAAAGATCTGAACTTCTGTTCTTTTTGTAACTAAATTAATTGTTGTATTCAGCAAGGATTCATTAAACTGATCAAAAGTGACAGTAAATACATCTATAATGTTACAGAAGATTCTATTTTAAATAAATACTTTTTTTGAAGGAACCCTGAAAAAAAATGCATCGCGGTTTTCACAAAAATATTAAGCACAACTGTGTTCAACATTAATAAGAAATGTTTCTTAAGCAGTAAATCTTATTAGAGTGATTTCTGAAGGATCATGTGACACTGAAAGTTCAGCTTTTCCATCACAGAAATACATTTTAAAATATATTAAAATAGAAGTTATTTTAAATTGTAAAATTTCACAATATAATTTTTTTTAGATCAAATTAATATATGCTTGGTGAGCATGAGAGACTTCTTTTTAAAAAACACAAAAGAATCTTATCAATCCCAAACGTTTGCATGTTAGTGTGAATATCTGAATGCTTGCAATAATGTATACATTGTCTACATATGGATTATTAAGAAAACTTGTAACTTACACTACTGTGACCGGCACAAAAAGTATTTTAAAAGTGGAGTTTAGGCACTGAGGACACCCAGAAATATGATTGCACCTATTCAGTCTCAATAAAAATGTTTTTTTTTTTTTTTTTCTATATTTAATTCAAACTACACTACAGTAATTTAAGTGTTATAATTTAAAAAAATACCCATGAGTAATCTAGAAAAAAACTTGTACACTGCTAGTCATGATTGGCACACTATCCACACACACACACACAGGCTACACAACCTTAAATGTTTCAATGATAAAGAACAAATAATAAATCATGTTAAATGCTGGTTCATTTGTATAATGCACTTCAAGTAACCACACAGTTTAATCCATTAGGTTAATTATTTAATTTTCTCAAAACATTTGAAATAAAATTAAGCGATTTATACAGTTTAAAGTTGGTATTGTGTTTTTACATAGTTCTGATTGATGCCTGGAGTTCACAGAGTTTTGCACATCATATATAGAAAGCAAGCTGAAAACAAATTAGTCTCCCTGTTGGACAACACTAGATCGAAACCCAACACTGCCCTGGAACAAGTGTTAGGAAAATATTAAATTGCAAGAGGAAAGAAAGACAACACACAATTTTTAAATATCTAAAGTTCAGTGCAATTAGTACTGAGAAAACTGTTTTAAATTTGAATGGCTAAACGTAAGATCACGGTCAAGATCTGTGCTACATCAATCAGCACTCTCTACCCTGAGACAGCATCTCTATCATGTTACTGTTCTACATCTACACGGCTGCTGTACTGTCCGAGTCCCTTTAGTACACATGCACCATTCCGTAGAGGAAAGTCCAGAACAACACATAAGTAAAGAGGCCGCCCACCAGGCCTCCTGTAAAAAGCAGACGTCGAGATTTGAAGCACTTGTTCCATCGGCGACCGGCTTTGAGAATCAGGAGCAAAGACAGCAGGAAAGAGGCAAGGAAATAAAAGACGAAGCCGTAGAGTCCTGTTAGCCCGAGGATGCCCGCTGTCGCCCCGGACAGAGCAGACACGGACGTGCGGCAGTAGTCGAGCACCGCGTTGTTTCCTCTGACGGCCACCTCACTGATGAACTGCGGCCCCTCGCGTTTGGCTGCTACTGTGGCCATGTTGTGATGTGAAAAACACGCTGACAGGAGAAAAGCGAAAGACAGATGACCACATAAAGCCGACTGAGAGATCATACATTCACGTGAAATCTCCTCCTCCACTTACCGTTAGGGTCAAGATATTGGTAAACACAAATGAAGCGTCAGTCTCCGTGATTCAAGAAAGCATGATTTACATTAAACAGTCGAACCTCAAAAGATATTTGTTTAAGCCTATATTTTAACTAGGACTGTATTCAAAAAATGGTTTGGTAAATTCTGGATAAAACACAGCGTGTGTCATTCTCGGTCAGCCATTTTCTCGCTAAGCACCATGGGACTTTAAAAAAAAACTAGTTCTAATTTTATTTAATCTTCATGCCCAACTTGTACTTCATTTCGAAAAATAATATGTCTAGTAATACAAGTTTGTGTATTATTAGACTCTGAACTCGGAACAACATTACGGTTTAAATATATGCGTATTTCATTTACCTCACCTTTCACCCACTCTACGGGATCCGCGAAGGTTCAAAAATGGTGATGGGATGTAAGAATCTTTTGCGAGAATCGGTTCTTTCGAACTAATCGATTTGAGATACATAATACATAAACGTATTAATAACTTATGGTTGTTTATGAATACGACATGTGCAGAAGAGACGGTTCTCGGTCAATAAGAGCTGTTCGCGAAATGAACAAATTATTCAATCCGATTCTTAAATGAATCATCCAGAACAGTTTATTGAACCGGTTCAACACATTCATTGAAAAGATTCGAAACACGAGCGATTCGTTCATCATTCGGACATCGATAGATCGGGTCATCGACAACAACGTAGTAAAATTCAGAGCAGTTTATTTTCGTGTGCAATGACATAAAAATGACATATGCTGCACATTTTCCTCTGACTGCACAAAAGTAGTGATTTCTTTAGAGGTCATGGCGACGTCACAGAGTTGTTCTGCTGACTTTGTACTCGGCATGGATCTGGGCACCACATCAGTTAAGGTCGTGCTGTTGGAGGCGCAGTCCAACAGAGTGACAGACAGTAGGAGTTTCCCTACAAACTCTGATATCTGCACCACAGACACACATGTAGGTAACAGATATTTGATCAAAGCGATGGCAGTCAAAATATACGGTTAGACTATACAGAGAAATTAACCTCAAGAAGTATTGTGGGAAAACACATGGTACAGTGTATCATGTATGTGTGGTTAGGTACTTATGTTATACTGAGAGTGTTTAATGTGCTTTATTTATTGTTGTTGTTGTTGTAATAGGCCAAAGAGCAGGATCCTGCACTAATAATTGCGGCTCTGGACCAATGCATGGATGCTTTACCCAAAGAAAAGCTGAAAAAAGTCAAGTGCATTGGAGTATGTGGACAAATGCATGGCATTGTGTTGTGGAAATCTAAATCAGGTTAAACATTGAACTGACACATCATTGAACAACTATTAAAAGCATGTTTAATGCTTCTGGCATTGTGGTGAAGGCACTCATGTTCATTCATAAATCATAAATTAAATGGTATCAATACTTGTACTGTCATCCATCTCCATTAGGCTGTGAATGGCTAAGTAAAGATGAAATCATTAGATTCATTCCCAAAGAAGACGTCAGTCAGCTGATCACCTGGCAGGATGGGCGCTGCAGCGCTGACTTCTTGTCTTCCTTACCTAAACCAGACTCCCACCTGAGTGTGGCCACTGGCTTTGGTTGTGCCACCATTTTCTGGTATTTGAAACACAGGTAGAATCACACTCAAGATTTCAGACTAAATTATTTCAGCAAAAATAAAATTGTTTTGCACTGATTTTTTTTTAATGATATATCATTGATTCAGGCCAGAGTTCCTGTCAGATTTCAGTGATGCAGGCACCATCCAAGACTACGTGGTTTCCATGCTGGGAGGTCTTGACAAGTGTGTCATGACTGGACAAAATGCTGCCAGCTGGGGTTACTTCAACACAACCACCAACCAATGGAACACACAAATGTGAGTTAAGTCCGATATTAAATTTAGAGGTGGCCTTTGCAATTAAGAGACCCGTATTAAAGAAACAGTTGGAGGCCTCCCCACACCCCCCACCCCAGTGAGAAAAATAGACAGACTGTTGTAACAACGTTATCTCATTTTTCACTCTTAATATTACAGTTTTAAACGCAATCTATCTATATACCACTATCTAGGCATTCTATTGATTTGATGAGTAGAAATTTTATTACAATCACGGCTGAAAACAAAAACAGCATTCAATTATTGTCACTCTCTCCACTCAGATAGCACCATAGACAGCATAATGACCAGGCATTGAGAGAAAAGGAAGAAAAATGGGAGAACAGGGATTAGGGCCTAGACAAGGGGTTTAATAAATAGTTATACTATATGAATAGTCTACATCAAGAGGAAATATTTTACACTTACTTCGATTGTGACATTTATAGCTTGGCTTTCTGATAATGGAGTGCTGCAATAGCTCTGTCAAGTTTATCCTTATCCAGCAATCTCATAACAAACATCATGTTCAAATGACATCTGGGCAAGTACGGACAGTCTTTCTTGCAGCATGGTGGACTCCTTTTTTCAGTAGGTGTCGGCAAATCATTGTCTTAACGAGCGAGTCATTGAATCATTCAAACGATTCATTAAACAAATGTCTGATTCATTCAAGGACAAAGCATGCTGTGTTCGAAATCACCCCCTGTACCCTCATTCACTATTCCCTACATTACTCAACTAATATAGTCCACTTGTAGGAGTGAATGAAAAGGGTGAATTTGGACACTGAGTGCCCTGCTGCTTTTGCATAGTTTGTGCTTACTGTTTAATAATCATTTGAAACTTAGCAAACTGGCAGCTCCAGTAGTAAAGAAAAGATTTATTTTGAACTCTGTAATGGAAGCTAGCATGTATGAATCCCTCAGGTGCTCTTCGTTTCGGAGTCACACTTGTTATCTTCCCGGTCAGAAGTGACCGGACACCTAAAATTTAAACTTTCTCCATCCCAGTAAAACCAATGCAATTTATTTTTGTTCAATAATACAGGGTATCCGCGGGTCCTTAAAAAGTCTTAAAAAGTCTTAAATTAGATTTTAAAAATGTATGGCCTTAAAAAGTCTTATTTTGACTTATGAAAGGTCTTAAATTTTCAATGGCAATTTGAGTTAGACATATCTAAATGTTTTCCAAATTAAAACTATCTAATTAGCGTACTTTTTTATTTACTATTCGTTCTTTGTGGATTTGCTCGTTCACGTGACATTTCGCGTCACATTCGCGCCAGCTTTACGTCTGTCTCCTCCTGCACGCGAAACAGCAGGAGAGGAGAAGAAAGCTGGTTAATTTCAGTTCAATTGTAAGTTCATTCTTTATGTGCGTAGTGGTGTGCGATGTGTATTGTCTATTATGATATTGTAATCATTGTTTTACTTTAACGTTAACTATGTACGAGGGCGCACTGCGAGCTGACATCGCATTTGTCTCTCATGCTTTCACTGCGTGATGTGTCAGTGCAGTTATAGGTATGTTCCCTAATAGACGTATAAAGTTTTTGTATTTTATATATCATATGTTGTTATCATACAATATTACATCAGCAAGAGGGCTGTTTTCCCGTGCACAATAGCAAATATGATATTTATTTTATATAACAGTTAAATTAACATTGTTACATTTTATAAACAATATTGTCAATATTGTTTGTTTTCCCTTTATTTCGCTGACGAGAATTTCAAAATGAAACCGTAGCAGAGTCTCAATGCAAAAGACAGCGATGATTTCTTGACTGAAATCCGCGTTTTGAACGAATCATTTTAACGATTCAATGAACAATCACTTGCAGTTCCTGAATGAATCAGCCGTTTGAACAAATCGTTTGAATGAATGACTCCCTGAGACAGTGACTTGCCGCCACCTACTGGCGGGTTTAGTTTCACATTAAGTACCCTGTAATTAAAATGTTACAATTAGAAATCAGTTCATATTTAAATATTGAATTAAGAATTGAAAGAATTGAATATATCATAGCTTTATTTATGCAATTGTAAATGGAGTATAAATATATTAATGCCAGTTCTGATGCTGCTTCTGTGTCTCCTCTGCACTGCAAAGATGGATTTTGATTTAATGATTTAATATAACTGGTAACAGTGGTATTGTGTTATTATTCTAATATAATTTAATTTGAATGTTAGAATTTGACATAAAAGGTGATGCATACCTCTAAGTAAAAAAAAAAAAAAAGTCCATATATGGGTAAAAATGCCCCTCGAACTCAATTTAAGGTTGCAAATATTGCCCTTTAATAAAAAAATGTTAATTCCTTTCACTGCTGTGAACTGACCACTGCATAGAATATGAAAAATATGAATATCTTCGTGAGTCAGCTGTCAACAACAAGCCTAAACCAGCCATGGTACCAGTACACAAACACAATCAGTAAAATATCATCTAATTATCATCAACAAAACTTTGAAAATATTGAGAATTTTTTTTTTCAATATTGCGCACCCCTAATGTAAGGTATTAATTTTGATTTCTTCAGGTCTTAAAAAGGTCTTAAAAAGCCTTAAATTTGACTTTAAAAAGTGTGCAGATACCCTGTAATATTTTTCCTTTTTAAATTTGTATTTTGAGAGAATTTGATGTTACTTATTAATATTTATGCAATATTTATGCTCCATTTTTGCCATTGAAAATAATACAAACATTTTTTTTCCTAATTTTGTAAAATATTTTTTCAATTATTGCAGTATTTCAGATTAATACAGAGACCAGACCTTTAAGTCAGATTAGCGCCATCTGTTGAAAGAAAATAAAATAAAACATGTCATTTCATGGTGCAACCACTAGATGCCTGTATAGCTCTCTATGGAGAGGCTTGTGAATAGGCTTTATGCACAGCTTCACTACTTCCTGAACTTCAGCCAGCTCCTTTGTTTCCTGTCTGCCATTATTGGACAAACTGATTAATCCAGGTGTGCCTGATTATTGTTACTGAGGCCAGGCACACCTGGATTAATCAGTTTGTCCAATAATGGCAGACAGGAAACAAAGGAGCTGACTGAAGTTCAGGAAGTACTGCAGCTGTGCATAAAGCCAATTCTCTAGTTGTTTTTGGACAAAATTACTTACTTTTAAGATGTGGATTTGAATGTATTTTTTTGAAATTCTCAAATAATACTTTTTGCCATGGTTTATAATTTTTTTTTAAATAAATTTGATGTGAAGTGTACACGTTTTTGCATTATTACTACAGTCAAACCTGAATACAGAGAGAGCATTTTGTTACAGGTAACATTACAATTCAATATTTTTTTTTTTAAAAACAGTAATGCTTTTTCACAGCTTATTATTATTATTTATATTATTATTGTTATTATTATTATTTTTAAACATATTAATTTATTATTATTTTTAAACATTATATTAATTATTATTTTAATAATTTCAATAATAATTATATTATATATATATATATATATATATATATATATATATATATATATTAATAATTAATTATGTTGTGTTTCACTATTGATGTTTTTTTTCTGCATTGTGGGCGATTTGTAGAGAATTTGTGTTTGTCAATTTCCCATTATATTTCCTATGGTCAGTCACAAATCATTGGTGTGTATGTGTATAAAAAGTGTGTGTGTGTGGGGGTCTGTTTTGCACTCTTGGTGTTTTAGAGTGTCACCCCTTCATTGTTGAACACTTTTTTTCTGCATCGTGGCCAATTTGTAGATTGTACACACAAAAATTCTCAGACTTTTTGTGTTTTTGTCAATTTCCCATTCATTTCCTATGGTCGGTCATTTCTGACCGAAGAGCACAATTCAATTCAATTCAATTCAAATTTATTTGTATAGCGCTTTTCACAATACATATTGTTTCAAAGCAGCTTTACAGAAAGTGCATTTCAGAAATGTACATAGAAGAATATAGTTAGTTAATCATCATATATTAATTTAGGGCATAACATATCGCCGGCGTTGAGTCGTCTCTTCACAGGCGTCGAGTCGTCTCTTCACAGGCGTCGAGTCGTCTCTTCACAGGCGTCGAGTCGTCTCATCGCAGGTGTTGGGGCATCTGAAGTCTCCGTGAGAGGCTGGATACAAACTGGAGCTGACGAACGCTATTTACCTCGGGACTAGCGTCCCGAGATAACAGCAGAAAAGCAGATGGGAAATAATTAGCGTAGCTGCTGTTCATAATATTAATGCAGTCGATCTGATTCAACAGTGGTATAAAAGGTAAGCATTATGTGAATGCTTGGCTGAAGAGATGCGTCTTTAATCTAGTTTTGAACTGGGAGAGCGAGTCTGAGCAACGAACAGTATCAGGAAGGCTATTCCAGAGTTTAGGAGCTAAATGTGAGAACGCCCTCCCTCCTTTAGTGGACTTAGATATCCTAGGAATGACCAGAAGCCTCGAATTTCGGGATCTTAAAGAACGCGATGGATTGTAGGGCGATAGAAGGTCCATTAAATACACAGGAGCTAAACCATTTAGGGCTTTATAGGTCAGGAGTAGTACTTTGTAATTGATACGGAACTTAATAGGTAACCAGTGCAGAGATGATAGAATCGGTGTTATATTATCATATTTTCTTGACCTAGTAAGAACTCTAGCGGCTGCATTTTGGACTAACTGTAGCTTGTTTATTGAAGATGCAGGACAACCAGCTAATAAAGCATTACAGTAATCTAGTCTCGAGGTCATGAATGCATGAACTAACTTTTCTGCATCAGAAACAGATAGCATGTTACGTAATTTAGCAATGTTTCTAAGGTGGAAAAAGGCTGTTCTTGTAACATACGAAATATGATTTTCGAAAGACAAGTTGCGGTCTAGTATAACACCCAGGTCTTTTACTGTAGTCGATAAGGTAACAGGACATCCTTCTAAATTAAAGTTGTATTGTAAGAGACTTTGTGGGTAGTTTTTTGGACCAATAAGTAATACCTCAGTTTTATCTGGATTTAGTAGCAGGAAATTACACGTCATCCAGCATTTTATATCTTTAAGACATTCTGTCAATTTAGATAAGTTAGTGTATTCATCTGGTCGTGATGAAATATATAATTGAGTGTCATCAGCATAGCAGTGGAAATTAATTCCATGTTTTCTTATAATATTACCAAGTGGCAGCATATATATTGAGAATAGCAGAGGGCCTAACACCGATCCTTGCGGCACTCCATAGTCTACTGACGTTATCTTCGATTTTTCCCCATTTAAACAGACAAAATGGTAACGGTCCGATAAGTACGATCTGAACCAGCTTAATGCCTGTCCCTGAACACCAGTGTAGTTTTGTAGTCGATCCAAGAGTATTTTATGATCTATAGTGTCGAACGCAGCGCTAAGATCGAGTAGAACTAGTATTGAGATACAGCCTTGGTCAGAAGCTAAAAGTAAATCATTTGTAATTTTAACTAGCGCAGTTTCTGTGCTATGATGCAGTCTGAATCCTGACTGAAATTTTTCATATATCTCATTTTCTTGCAAGAAAGAGCACAATTGAGCGGACACAATTTTTTCTAGTATTTTAGACATAAATGGAAGATTTGAAATGGGTCTGTAATTTGCTAAGTTATTTTGATCTAATTGCGGTTTCTTAATAAGAGGTTTTATTACTGCCAGCTTGAATATTTTTGGAACATGACCTAAAGATAAAGACGAGTTAATAATATTGAGAAGAGGCTCTTCCACTACAGGTAACACTTCTTTCAGTAGTTTAGTGGGTATTGGATCTAATAAACATGTTGTTGGTTTAGATGCAATGATAAGTTTATTTAGCTCTTCCTGTCCTACAGTTGTAAAGCGGTGTAGTTGTTCTTGAGGGACGATAATTGAGGCTGAATCACAAGACACCATAGAGGATTGTACATTTACAATTGTATTTCGGATGCTTTCTATTTTCTCATTGAAGTAATTCATAAAATCATTACAACTATACTGTAACGGAATATTTTGCTCTGGTGATGTCTGTTTATTTGTTAGTCTAGCCACGGTGTTAAATAAAAACCTTGGATTATTTTGGTTATTTTCTATTAGTTTGCGGAGATGCTCAGCCCTGGCTGCTTTTAGAGCCTTTTTATAACGTGACACACTGTCTTTCCACGCGATTCTAAAGACCTCTAAATTAGTTTGTTTCCATTTACGCTCTAAGTTACGAGTTTCTCTCTTGATAGCATGTGTAGTACTATTGTACCATGGTGCTTTAGTTTTCTCTCTAACCTTTTTCAATCTAATTGGTGCAACAATATCTAATGTACTAGAGAAAATGGTGCTCAAACTGCTGGTCATTTCCTCTAGTTCATCTGTTTGTTTGGGTTCACTGAGCAGCTGAGATAGATCAGGTAAGCTATTTGAGAATCTATCTATAGTGATTGGAAGGATTGTTCTGCCTGGTCGATAACGCGGCGCAACATGACAAATTTCAGCAGTACGTATTATACAAGTTACCATGTGATGATCGGTGAGATCGTCACTTTGCGGTATAATATCTATATCGGTTGGATCGGTTCCATATGATATAATTAAGTCTAGTGTATGATTTAGACGATGAGTGGGACCACTGACGTTTTGCTTGACCCCAAAGGAGTTTAATAAATCTGTAAACGCAGTCCCTAACGCATCATTTGTGTTATCTACGTGTATGTTAAAATCTCCAACAATTATTGCTTTATCGACATTGACCAATAGATCTGAGAGAAAGTCTGCAAACTCTTTTAGGAAATCAGTGTAGGGCCCTGGAGGTCTATATACAGTAGCCAAGGCTAGAGATAATAGGGATTTCTTTCTTACATCTAAGAGCGTAACATTTAGCACAAGTACTTCAAACGAATTAAACCTGTGATCTGTTTTCTGAGTAACATTAAGAATATCTCTATAGATTGTTGCAACACCGCCGCCACGACCGATCAGACGGGGCTCATGCTTATAACAATATCCTGGCGGAGTAGACTCATTTAGACCGAAATACTCATTTGGTTTAAGCCAGGTTTCAGTAAGGCAAAGTACATCGAAGCTATTATCTGTGACCATTTCATTTACAATAACCGCCTTAGGTGTGAGCGATCTAATGTTTAGAAGACCTAGTTTTAGAAATTGTTTTTGTTCACTGATATTTAAATTTTCTGGTTTAATTACAATAAGATTTTTCCTAGATCCTACACTAGATTTATTGTTTGGCCTCACTAGACGAGGAATAGACACAGTTTCTATATAATGTTCTACACTACTTATATCAATTAAGTTGGGACAGCAAAGACTGTGAATTGGACTTTGACTTACTAGTCAGATGGTGTGCAACGTCTTGGAGATGTTGTCCGACAGAACAGCCGCTCCGGCTCTGCTGGGGTGCAGGCCATCAGCACGGTAGAGCCTAGGTCGCTCCCAGAACAGATTCCAATTATTTACAAAGAGCAGTTTCTGTTCATTACACCATGACATTAACCATTCATTTAGAGCAAATAGTCTACTGAACCTTTCTTGTCCTAGTCGGTACGTGGGAAGCGGTCCAGACACGATGATCGTTGCCTCAGGTGCTGTGCTGCGTACCGCCTCGATCAGGCTCCTGTAGTCCTTCTTCAGAACCTCCGTCTGCCGCAGCCTGATGTCGTTCGTTCCCGCATGGAGGACAACGGCTCCGACGCGCTCGTCACCGTTCAGAATCTCGGGAACCTGTGCGGCGACATCAAGAACACGAGCACCAGGAAAGCAGTGAGTGCGCACCTTACCCTTACCTGAGGTAGCGCGGACATGACGGACCATGGAAGTGCCGATGATCACGGCGTCGTCGCGTTCCGACTCGTGAAGAGGGGAGAAGCGGTTCCGGGTGGAGATCTCGAAGACCGGGTGGGGCGGAGAGGTTCTTGCTCTGGTCCTGGCTCGTGTCTTCCGCTGTGGGATCACCCAGGGTCCATGGTGTTGTGTAGGTGCCGGAGTGAATGAAGCCAGAGATGATCGCGTCCTCCTGGGCAGAGAAACGCACGGAGTAGAGGAAGTCGGAGTCAAAAAGTTACTAACCACTGACTTGTGAGCATCGGCGCGTGACGTTTCAAGCGCTGATCGCCGATCCCGCAGCTCGGTTTGCCTCTCCAGCAGACCACGGATCTGTTTCTCCACCGATTCCAGTTCCAATCGTACTGAGATCAGCTCGAATGTATCCTCACCTGCACTCAGAGGTAACGTTAAACACATCAGATATGTTCGCCATTATAACAGATGAACAGTAAATTAGCAGTGATACTACCAATATCACTACTAATTTAGGACTGGAATGCTGGATATAACCTGTATCCTTTCAGTGAAACGGGTGTAAAATCAGACGCTCGATAGGCGCGAGCCCACGCGTGAAATGCTAGCGGGCTAAAGGCTAGTAGCCGAGATTCGCAAAGTTGGATCTAAGTAGCGATATCAAAGCAATCCGATTGTTTTTTTATAGGGAATAGTATCGAGGATAGGTTCACACGATATAAAAATAGAAAGTGCTTGTTAATAAAATAAAAAAAGCACAAGTGTGACTATTTTTTTTACGACCACTTAGCCTGCTCGGATCATGACCTCAATTTTTTTGTGTGTTCACATACCCGATGCCATAAAAGTCACCAAGTTTCGTAACATTCCGATGAAGCTGTGAGTTTTTAAAATTTCAAAACAAAATTTTTCTCGGTCAGACCAAAGAGCACCTGAGGGTTAAGCAATTTAACAGCCAATTAAAAAAGAATTTATTCCTGTTTGATATTACGCTACCCACATTAAACCAGCGGATTGGAAAATGAATGGATGGATGGATGATGCAGCTGACGAGCGGGCACCATCTTCTGCTGAGACGCGGGAATTCATTCAGCACGACCCTCACAGTGCATTATGGGTATTCTCTAGCTGTTGAACTTACATCAGTTGTACACTCGTTTTTGTGGTGCATTGTGGGATTGAATGAGTGCACTCAATAACATCCACTATGGTTTCGGACACCACTACAAATGTCTGTTCCCTAAAATAGTGCCCTATTTAATAGGGGTGATTTCGGACACAGCTGCAGTCTTAATGAGTTGAGTCATTCATTAGACCGATTCAATTAAAAAACGTGGATTTATACAGTAATGAAACATCAATGTTGCTTAGAAAAGTGCCATGTCTCTACTGTGGATCTGTTTAGAACTATTTTCGTTGCGAAATAGAGCAAAAACACCATATTCTGAGTTTAAAATGTAAGTCACCTTATTTTAACTTCTCATTTATTTAACTGTTGTATTAAATCAATATCACATTTGCAATAGTGCTGATATTGGGGAAAACAGCACTCTTGCTTGTGTGTGGTGTTGCTTAACTATCCTGTTATTAAAAGCAAGAACTTATACATGGACATTTTCCCCCATATGTTGAATTTTTGGGGCATTTAATTTTTAAATGTTTTTAATTTTTTAATGACATTTTTTCCCTGAGCCCCCATTTATTTCCACACTTTGTGTGTGAGGCGTGATAGTGGGTGGCAGGACTCTTTTCAAGCACAAGGGAAGCCCCTTCTGTTGCAAATCCCGTTTCAAGTGAAACTGACTCGAACTAATCAATGATGTTTAATATTACAGTTACTCTGTGTTGAATTGAATGCCTGTGTTTGGATAAGTCTCTGCAACAGCATGAATTGACTGTTTATATATTATCCTCCAGTCTGAAGGAGGCGGGTTTCCCTGTGCACCTCTTGCCTGTCGTGGTGGAGTCAGGAGCTGTGGCTGGTTACACTTCCTCTGAGTGGTACGGCATCCCTGCTCACACACCGGTCGGGGCGGCGCTGGGAGACTTCCAGTGTAGTGTGTACTCCTGCATGACTGACAGAGGAGATGCAGGTGCAGTGTGGATTAGATGCCTCTTTTTTAGTTGTGCATATTGCATTTTATGTTTTCTAAAATTCATTGACTCGGTCTGTAAATGACCTACAGACTATTGTAGTTTTATCAGCTACATACAGTACATAATCAATCTGAGGACAGTTTATGTGTTTACTAGTTCAGCCTCCAGGTGGAGATGTTATGCGACTGCAATGAGCACATGTAAACATGGCAGATTTTGTACTCAGATTTCAGCGTCCTCTCTCAAGGGCATGGGCATGAGAGTTATTATGTGTTTTATGGGTTCTTGTAAATTAGATATTTTTGCACAGCAGCTCAAGCTTATGCTAAAAAGAGGACTGTATGAGGACTGTATAGTATTTTAAATACTTAAACATGATTTGTTTACATTTTGTCTCTGTTCGGCCATAAATATGTTTACCCATTTTTGTAAAAACCAAAAAATGTGCTAAAGATTTTTATCTACCTGTCATAGATGGTTTTGATTTAATATCTGTCAGCACATGATAGAAAGGGTTACTTTTATTTGGCAGTGGGGAAATTATGCTGAATGTGCTGTACATGATATTAGCAACACAAATGCTTTTAGCAATATGATCACCTGAGGCATTTTCTCTTTAAATTTTTTTTTTTTTTATGATTTTGTAGTTTGCACAAACACTGTGTTGCAGCTAAACCAGCATGTGTGTGTGCTTGAGTACTTTATACTGCATCCACATCAGTGTTGTGGACTGTAGCATTTTTACTCATACACTAACGTTCAAAAATATGGGGTCATTAAGAATTTTTTGGAAAGAAATGAATGGTTTTATTCCACAAGGATGCATTAAATTGATCCAAAGTGACAGTAAAGATATGTTTTTTTATGTGATAAAATGCACTTATTGTGTACATAAATGTTTTTACATTGTACTTATATTTAAAAAAATATCTGCATGTAATTACAGCTGTAATTAATTTATGTAATTACATCTATAATTAAACGTACCAAAACCACCATACCTGTGCCTAACCGTACACGTATCTCACAACATGAACACAATAAGTACATTGTACTTATTTTTTGATGTAAGTACATAGTAGTTAAGGACACCTAATATAAAGTGTGAGCAAACACATTTATAATGTTATAAATTATTTGTATTTAAAATAAATGCTATTTTCTAGTTAATGTCTATTCTTGAAAGAATCCTGAAAAAAACAAAAAAACATTTGTGAGCACGAGACTTTCAAAAGCATAAAAGAAATCTTACAAACCCCACACTTTTGAACTGCTGTGTACACTAAGGCAGATACACACAAATTAATTGTGAATTATGTTAAATCACTAGTGCTGAACATGAGCACTTCAGCCCAGCTGACGTTCGGCATGCCTGCAGAGTTCAGCCCTCCCAGTTCTCCAGACACCCTCTGCCCTGTCGCTTATTTCCCATACTTGCACGGCTCCTATCTGGCAGTGGCCGCATCACTCAATGGAGGCAATGTCATGGCCACATTTGTCAGAATGCTGGACTCATGGATGAAGGAATTTGGTAAATCAACAATTGTTAACCTTTTTGACCTTTGACCAATTGACCTTTTTATACCGTAGACTAATCATTTATTGTTTAAAATAGAGGCAACAATAAAATGACTTCCAAATATAGGTTCTAAAAGGGGGATTTCACAGCAATGCCATAGAATGCCAAAATGCCATAGCCATTTTGGGTCCCCAAGGAACATTTCAGTGATCAGTTTTTAAAAGAATATTTTTTTCCTTAGTGTAAAGAACATTTTAATAATCTAAAGAACCTTTTTCCACTATAAAGAGTTTATTGTGTAATGGAAAGATGTTAAAGGTTTTACATTAGATGTCAATAAAGAACCTTTATTTTTTAGAGTGTTGTATTCTTGTTGCATGCTTTTGGTTCTCAGGTGTATTATTCATTGTTTTATCTCATAGGATTGGAAGTAAACGAATCCAGAATCTACTCCCAGCTGATCCAGTCTGCCTTGGCACAGCCTAATACTGACCTAACCGTGACTTCGACTCTACTAGGAGAGCGGCACGACCCCACCACCAGCGCCAGCGTCTCGCAAATCTCGCCCTCTAACCTCTCTCTGGGTCACATGACTCGGGCTGTGTGCAGGGGCATCATTGAAAACCTGGCCACTATGATGCCCCCTCAGAGCCTGCAGGCTGCTGGGGTGAGGTGTATTATTGGCAGTGGCAGCGCTCTGTCATGTAACCCCGTTCTGCAACAGGAAGTGGAGAGAGTGTTTCCATTTCCTGTAGTCTATGGAAAAGATGTGGACTCGGCAGTTGGAGTTGCCATGGTGTTTTTATTGACCAAACATAAGAAGACACTATGCCTATGATGTTTGTCTCTGAGACACCTGACCTACTATAATGCTCTCTGGTAGGACTGTGTTTTTTTTTTTTGCTGTTTAGTTAAATGTATAAATAATCACATTTTGAAATGAAGTGTATTTAATTTAAAAATGTTTTAATACTGTACATCCATCAGTTTATAATTGTATACTATATCATTAATTTAACTTATTGATTCATTTTTTGACTGTCAAGATCTAATGTTAAATTTTTTTAAATATTTACACTCATTATGCTATTGTATACAAAACCATTTGTATTTTTTTAAAGAATATGTCTGAATTCCATTAAATGACTGAACAGAGCCTTAAAAACCACAAAATACTCTTGCTTACAATGTTCAGTGGCATTTCAGATGTTAATAAACAGTTGGATTCTGATGCATCAAATTTCATGCTGTTTTTATTCTAATTCTTTTGTTCTAATTGAGTTTATGCTGTATATAAAAAATATATAGCAAAAATTGATTTTAAAAATAAGATAGAGGGTAAATATTTAACTGTTAATATAAGACAGGCATGGGAGGGATTAAACACACTATGGGGAGGTCTAATAAAAAGGATGATAATTTTGTCAGTAAAAGCCAAACTTTTATTAACGACTTAAATAACTTTTAAGGGCAGATTTGACAATGTTGACGGTAAGACAGAATGTGATGAGATGTAAAAATCTCCCTGCAGAAACATCAATAGTTATTAATGAAGCTGATGTTATTGCAAGCCTTAGTAAATTGAGGCCAAATAAAACCACTGGCCCAGATGGTTTGAAAGCCCGCCTTCTTAAAGGGTTAGTTCACCCAAAAATGAAAATGATGTCATTAATGACTCACCCTCATGTCGTTCCAAGCCCGTAAGACCTCCGTTCAACTTCGGAACACAGTTTAAGATATTTTAGATTTAGTCCGAGAGTTTTCTGTCCCTCCATTGAAAATGTAAACACGGTATACTGTCCTTGTCCAGAAAGGTTAGAAAAACATCATCAAAGTAGTCCATGTGACACCAGTGGGTTAGTTAGAATGTTTTGAAGCATCGAAAATACATTTTGGTCCAAAAATAACAAAACTACGACTTTATTCAGCATTGTATTCTCTTCCGGTTCTGTTGTCAATCTGCTTTCAGTGATGCTGATGACATAAGACGCTGCTGACGTGTTATCTGGTGCGTCCGTGTATTCGGGTTCAAATAAATATGGCTGGGCAAAAAAATGCAAGTCTTCCTCTGTGTCGAAATCCTTAGACATGTTTACGAAGATTGTTTTGTTTACAGCGTGCGTCTCCCTCAGACTGTAAACGAAGCTCGGGCGCACCAGATAACACGTCAGCAGCGTCTTACGTCATCAGCATCACTGAACGCGGATTGATAATTTTGGACACACATGTGAGCTTCGTTAAGAATTCAGAGTTTTTTTTTTTTTTAAATGCTCTCAGCGTTTATTTCTTCTTAGACAACTTAGCGGCCTTGGAGTTAGTCAGCATATTTTAGTACTTTTCATCTCCCAGCCAGGTACGATCACTTTAACTGCAGATCTAAGAACAAACTCACCAGAATTGTGTCAATGGCAAGCAAAATAGTCGACAGACCACAGAAGCCCTTAGTACAACTTTATGCTGAAAGGGCAAAGAAGGCGGCGAAGATTATTCTTGCAGATAGTTCTCACCCTCTCTTTAGCCATTTGAGCCATTGAAATCGGGTAGGCGCTATAATACCTCTAGCGAATAAAAATGTTTAATGTTTTATTCCAAACGCTATTAAAATTCTCAACTCCACAAGTGATCGATAAACCAAATAGTAGTAGCATGAACTGTATTTTTATATTTATGTAATGTGAATCTGTCTTGTTTTGTAATTTTTTTTTTTACTACTGTCTGTATAGTTATTTTATGTGCTGGTGAGCCAAAGACAATTTTCCACCTTGGTGGACAATAAAGAATTACAATATAATACAATACAACATGTAATGCATATGGCTATAAATGAAGTTTCTGTTTCTTCAAATAACATAAAGACGAGGAGCAAATTCTTTACCACGTGCATTAAGGATCAACAGCATGTCAGGGTTTCATTTTGTTCATGTGATGTGTGCACCAAAACCACCATGTACTGTATGCGCCAAACCATCTTACTCTGCCACAGTCCACCATTGTCATGCAGGAAACCGTACACGTTAAGAAAAGTGAAATTTCTCAACAGAACCGTCTCAGCAGACAAGTGCAGATGACTTATGATTAACCAAACATGTGCTGTTCAGCAAGATACCCTTTTTTATTATATATTATATATATTCCAGCATATGAACAATTTGGGTAGTTCAGATATAAAGTAGAATACAGTCTTGCTAGATAAGTAAAGCAATTTAAGTAGAAGCTTGATGGTTTTTAGTGCATTTTGTGGTATATATGTATAGGACTGGGTTATAAATGAGCTACAAGGCATGCATGGACATGGCAAGACATATGCAACAACACACTTTTGAAATCAATACAACCCGCCTTTCTGTAAGGCTCTCAGCAACCTCAAAACATCTCGCCCTCTTCCTCTATGAAACTGAGAGAGAGCAAGCCAGTCATTGTGTTCGAGGAATCATAGCTCTGACAAGCTCATTGAACATAGTGGACCATCAACACGGGATACTAGAAAACCAAAGTTGATTTGTGAGTACAAATGTTTGATACTTTATTCTTGTATTTTAATGGTTTACCATAATAGAATGCAGTATTTAAATGCATTTAGATTTTGCTAATGTAGTAAATCATTAAAGAACTGGCAAATCAAATTTCACTGGCAAGTCCTTGTGAGATCTACTTTAGTACATATTTCTGCAGATCAGTTTTAAAGTTAGTCTTTTTAAATCTGACAATATCATGCTCGACTTTGTTTTTGCTCAACCCAAAACATGCTGAATCTCGTAATGTTATAAGTGAGATAATCTAAAGATTGTGTCTGTCTGTGTCTTATGTACTGTTTCCACTGTAATGTTATCTGAACCAATTTGCAGAGAGGCCATGTCATAATAGTCTAGTAAGTAAGACTATCCAGCATCTTGTTATTGCATATTAGGTCATCATCTAGCGTAAAACAACATAATTTGTCCATCAAATATATGTTAGACGCTGTAACAATATATGCTGCCTCACCCATAGAGCAGTCTGCTTGCACATTCAGACTAAAAATGATTTAATATATCTTTAGTATCCTAGGCGCCCTTTCTTTGCTGTGATATGCACATTAAACATTAATCCTTGTTTTGACAAATCTAAATAATGTCTTTTTTAATAAGGTCTATTTATGGTTATCTATTGTGTTTATAGTGTGTATGCCCTAAATGAGGAACAGTGGATGACTCATATTATACATAATTACATTTCCCTAATTATTGTATCAATTTGAGTTCTTGTTTAATGTGCAAGTGAGATACAAATATGCTCAAAACATTTATTTATAACTAGTAAATTTTGCATTTCCTTCATACTGCAACTTCCTGTCACAGAGTTTCTATGAATCTTTTTTGTCCCCTTCCTCTTTCAACTGGTGCTTAGATTATCTATCACCTCCTGTTCTCACTATCTGTTAATAGAATAATTTTATAAATGAATTGTAATTTGATTGGTCCCCTAAGAAAGAATAAGTACTGAAAAAGCATCCAAGCATAATTGCTTATCTTAACGCTGGTATTAGAATGTCACATTGGCTTATAAAAGCAAAATCGGTGGTCCTATCATCTTTAAAGAAACTGATTCATGTAAAAATGACACATCTTTTAAATACAAAACCAGCTTTGTGAGAGATGCATGGTAAAATGTCACAAGATAGATCACATGTATGCTCAGGAACCCGGTCAAAACAGATGATAGTAGCTTGTTTCTATGGAAATCTTTTCCTTACAAAATCAAGGGCTTTTAGACCTTGTGCTACATGATTACCCAAAGCCAGTGTAATGGAGTTTCTTAATGCAGGATTACAGTCTATTTCCTCTGTATGTAATGCTATGGAACCATTTACAGAGAGGCTAAGTTATAATATTCTAAAACAAAAAATATCCAATGCATTAGACACTGAATTCTGTTCGAAATGCATTTCCATGTATTCTCTGGTAAAGTGTTCCGTGATTGGACAATAATGGCCCATTCCCTGGATGGGATCATATAGCAAGTAACAGCATGAAGAAATATCAATAATTCAGTTAACAAAGGTCTATTGGAGATCTTCACTTGCACATATAAACTGAACCTGCTTTCTGATCTCTTGAATCTTTGAAAATATGTAAATTAATCCACATTTTCATTTTGCTGAAGAATGGATTTGTTGTGTACCCAAGATAACCACAGATCCATTAGATGGGTTTAGATGCTCTTATGATCATGGCTGCATTATAATCACACCTTCATAATTATCATAATTGTCATAACTTATTTAATGTAGCAATGAGATGCACAAATGTGAGCCATTTATAACAGCAGCAGTAGTTCTGCATTTCCTTTGACTTCCTGTCATAGGGTTTCCATTTGGATCATTTGTGAGTCCTTCCTCTTTTAATGGTTCTTATAACAAGTAGACGCTCTGAGATCCATTATGACTCTCAAGTAGCTCCTACTCTTACAGAAGCAACTCTCAGTCACATTATATAAAAAAAATCATTAGTAATCATTTGATTGGTAACAAAGGAAGCAACATTTCGTGAACTACCAACAAAGCACAACTCCTAATAAATGTCCCATTTGCTTATAAAAAATAAATCACCAGTTGTGGTCATGGCTCACGTTTTCCGTTTTTGTACGAAATTAAAACCTAATGTCCTGTATCTGCTAATGATATCACTTTTATGGAGTTTACAGCTTCTGCTGTGAGACTAAGAAGGCCTCACTATGAGTAAACCAAAAGACAGCAGCACCTCATCATTCACTCTGGAGACGGATGACCAGACAGAGGAGGAGAGGTCAAAGGCCAAACAGATGAAGAAAGGTGCTTTAAAGGACAAGAGGCCCATGGATTCTAACTACCTGGATGACATACATGAACCTACAACCACAATTAAATTTAACCTAAACTTTGACAGGTAAGTGGGGCTCCTTAATATAAAACCACACTGAAGTGACAAATATGAAGTCAGAAATCATAACTTTAACAGATACATTCTGCATACAGGGGAATCAGAAACGTAAAAGAGGAGCCGGCTCAACAGGACAGTGGGAGGTTTACCATCAAGAGTCTGTTTGAGGCCGTGTCCAGTGGCGAGGTGTCGAAACTGCAGGGTTTACATCAGTACCTGCACAAAAACATGAAACGCCTCACCGACTCTCAATGTAATTGTATTCAAGAAAAAATACACAACTGTTGAAAAGTTTGGGTCTTGTTTTCACCAAGGCTGCCATTACTCCAGTCTTCAGAATTATTTTAATATGCTGAATCGGTGCTTAAGAAACATTTCTTTTTATTATCAGTGTTGAAAACATTTGCGCTGGTTGACATTTTTTTGGAAACATTTTTCTGGATTCTTTGATGAACAGAGTGTTCACAAGAACAGTAGAAAAGGAAATATTTTGTAACATTATAAATGTCTTTATTGTTACTTTGGATCAATTTAATCCATCCTTGTTGAATAAACGTATCAATTTCTTTACAAAAAAAAAAAAAATTCTCACTGATTCCAAACATTTGAATGGTAGTGTACAAAGAATACACAGAGGAGTACTGTGAATTCATGACTGATATTTATTTACTACATAATAAAACAACAGTTTTTTCTTCTTCAGATAAGTCCAATGGAAAGACAGCCCTGCTGAAAGCGCTTTTAAATTTGAGGAAAGGCGAGAATGACACTATTGAACATCTGCTGGACATTGCAGAGAAACTGGGAGATTTAAAAAATCTTGTCAACGCTGCTTACACAGACAGTTTCTACAAAGGTCAGAGCCATTATAGCTTCATTTTACATAATGTTTGATTATTAGATCTAAAATGTTGGTTATTTTTTTTATAAATCAACAGAATGTTGATCCTATGTAATCTATTTTACAATGTTATCTCTTTGGCAGGTCAGACAGCGCTCCATGTTGCGATTGAAAGGAGGAGTGCAAAATTTGTACAGATGCTGGTTAAGAAAGGGGCCGATGTCCATGCTAAGGCCTGTGGGAAATTCTTTCAACCCAATCAAGAAATGTGCTTCTATTTTGGTAGGTCTAACGATAAGGTTGAACTTTTGCAGGATGGATAATTCTGACAACAATTTACAGTAGAAATTGTAAAATCTTCCACATAATGTTCTCAATGTTACTGACCCATTTTGTGGGTATCTGGGCTTACCTGTACCGTTCACACCTTCTGTGCACAGGTGAGTTGCCCTTGTCGCTGGCCGCTTGCACTAATCAGCCAGACATTGTGGACTTCCTTATGGACAACCCTTACCAGGCGGTGGATGTCAGGGAGAGGGACTCTCATGGGAACATGGTGCTTCACGCACTAGTATCCATAGCTGATAATAGTCCTGAAAACACAGAGTTTGTCATTGCCATGTATGACCACATCTTAATCAAAGCCTACCAACTTCACCCCAAGATCAAACTGGAGGAAATCGAAAATAATAAGGGACTCACACCAATCCAACTAGCCGCCAAAACAGGAAAATTGAGGGTAAACCTTTTCCCCACCCTGTTGTTTACTGATTTTTGAGTGTCATAGAATATGAACAATTTCATTATGTTTTGCAAAATACCTACATTTATTTGAAGAAGTGATTCGTTTGAAGTTTGTGCCCAGTAAATCTCAGTTCTGTTTTTGGATGTTCCTGGTTTTGTACAGATGATTAGTCTTCATGTGATTTGACATGTTATTTTCCTTCAGCAGGCATTAAATCAGACACCAGACTGATTCACAGTCATACAGTGACAGTCATTGTCTTATTTAACCTATAGTCACAGTTTAATGTTTGTATTTATTTCCTTTGTTCTATATTCTAGCTGATGTTGCTGCTGGGCATGGCTGATTACTACAATTAGCACATTGTTAAAAGACTAAAAAGTGACTAAATAAAACAATTTTGAAAATATAGTTATTAGCATAGGTTTGATGAAATCATTCAGATGTCATTTTTCATAGTTTTCATAGATGTCATTTTTCTAGCTGTTTAAGCACATTGTCCAGCGGGAGTTTAAGGGGTGCAGACATCTGTCCCGCAAGATCACGGAGTGGGCCTACGGTCCCGTGTGCTCGTCTCTGTATGACCTCGCCTCCCTTGACACCTACGAGAAGAACTCCTCGCTGGAGATAATCGTTTATGGCAGTGAGATTCCCGTGAGAAGACATTTTGTACATTTCATACTGATTAATTCTAGAATCTAAAATGCATAATTTCGATTTTATATACTTTACTGAAGCAAAATCCCAGCTGAGAGGAATTGTTCTCAGAATTTTGGCTGACATTCTGGCAAGGTTCTCTCAAAGTTTTGAACAAATGTCTTTTCCAGTAACATTAATATATTGCTCGTTCAAAGTTGTTTTTTTAAAGTTGTCTAAAGAATAAAAAAAAAAAAACTGGGCGTTTTGAGCGATGAGAGGGCGAGCGGGCCACAACCTAACGCTTTTTTACTTTCTCAGTTTGTGTAAATCTACTTAGGGTTTAGAGTATTTATTTTTCCCCACATTAATTTCACACATGTCTAGTACAGTTATGTGGTTTTGTTTCATTAATACAGTGTATACTTTTATCTTGATATACCCTGAAAGAATGGAAGTGAAATGTGACAACATGCCCCATTGTACATTGTAACTTGACAGCTTAAAATCTGATCTAATCAAAAAAATATACAAGACAAACTAAAATATTTTCTCAATAAAATACAATTATTAACTTTTTTTTTCATATAAAATAATGATATTTTTTAATAATTAAAAATAAAATAATTTTTGAGTTTGACAACAAACACACCGAAAAACACAGCTATACAACATAGTTCAAAATATAATAATAATTAATTATTCACTCTCAGTCTTTATTCACATTTTTCTCATGTTTTCTCAATAGAATTCATAAAAGTATAGAATAGAATAGCATAGTTCTAATAGGGGCACATTGTAACGCAGTGTTACAACGAACCCCACCTGCACAACTGGGGTTTAAACCCTGCTAGTGTCTTCTGCTGGTTATATCAGCATTAAAGAACCATATCAACTGTTAAATAACATATTGGAGATTAAAATAATATCAGCTTTGTCTAATTTTAAAAAAACACCAAAAATAGAGATGAAAAATTAACATAAGAAATTTACTTTTGCTATGGTTAAATAAATGTTCAGTGATATCTTCCAAAAAAAAATTCTCTCTATAGTGTTGATATGGCAACTCGTTTATACACTAAGTTTCGTCATGCTAGCATGTGTGGAAGTATTTAAAACAAGGGTGTTACGACCAGCCCCGTGTTAGGTTGTGCCCCGCTCTCCCCTACATTCCAAAATAACATAGGATATTTTATACCTTACAGGGATAGTTCACCCAAAAAGGGGAATTCTGTCATTATTTACTCAATCTCAGGTTGTTCCAAACCTGTATGAGTTTCTTTGTTTTGTTGAACCTAGAAGAAAACATTTTGAAGGATGTTTGTATTTTTTTCAAGTCAATGGGGTCCATCAACTGTTCTTTTGTGTTCAGCAGAAAAAAGAAACTCATACAGGTTTGGAATGATGAGTTTTGAGTACACGATGACAGAATTTTCATTTTGGGTGAACTATCCCTTTAATGGGAACATTAGCAAAACATTCTTGAACATATTTGTCTTAACTAGGATGTTAGCATATGGATTCCGATAAATGCTGTTGGTAGCAACATGTTTGGTTATTTCATCTCATTTCAGAATCGCCACGAGATGCTCCATATTGAGCCACTTAACAGACTAATTGAAGAAAAGTGGGATAGATTTGCGCAACGGATGTTCATGTTCAAATTTATCGTTTATATTATCTATCTTTTCATCTTCACTGCTGTAGCATATAACCGTGAAGAAGGGATTGACCACAGGAACAACCAAGTAGGTATACACAGCTGTCCGGAGGTGGGGACCCATTAATTCATTCATTCATTCAAAATAAACCTTTCTTTTTTTCTGGAAAATATGCACACTGACCTGAACCAGACACTCAACTTTTTTTCCAGCTTCAAACTACTCATTATGAATGCTAACTGTAAATGTTTCACTACTTAATGCCATGTCTCATTCCCACTCTTTTCTTTCAGTCATCAAATCCTCCGTTTCATTATGAAAAAGATACTCAAGGCTACTTGCTTCAGACAGGGCAGATCATAACTCTCAGTGGAGCACTATACTTCTTTATTAGAGGGGTATGTATCTGTTTAATATTTACAACAAATTCATGTTTAACTTTAAATGCAAAATATTTTTTTATTATTATTTATTTATTACAGAAATAACTGCATTCCCTTGTCTTTCAAGTTAATAGATATGTTAAGGAAGCGTCCGAGATTTCAGTCCCTGGTCATAGACGGATATAGCGATCAGCTTTTGTGAGTCTTTGGTTTATTTCAGAATTATTATTTTCCAAATACATACTTGAAATGACATTCTTTCCCAATAATTCTATAGTTAATACTTAAACTGCACCAGTATAACTAATTTTTACTACATAAAACCTCAATCAATAAGTGCATACAGTGTTTACTCCCGCTAAAAGACTTTTTGTTGCATTAGTTTTCTGCAGGCCATGCTTCTCTTGGTCTGTGCTGTGCTGTACTGCTTTGGTCAGGATGAATTTCTGGCCTTTCTAGTGCTGAGTCTTGCCTTGAGCTGGGTAAACCTGCTTTATTTCTCCAGAGGGTCCAAACATATGGGAATCTACAGTATCATGATACAAAAGGTAAGGGATATTTGTCTCTCTTATCCAGCATCCTTCACTCTGACCTTCAACGTAGAGTATTAGTAAAGTAGGATGCTATGCAACACATTTAATGCCTCCTTGTAGTATAGTCTAGTCCTTATAGTTGAGACAGGACCTACAGCATTACTTCCTGTGCGTAACACACTCGTACGCTCTTTAATTATTGTCAGATGATTCTTGGAGAAATTCGTCGATTCCTTGTTGTGTACATGGTCTTCCTCATTGGGTTCTCTGCAGGTATCCTTCTCCCTTGCATACATTCAGCAATGTACATGATTCTTTCATTACAATTAATTTAATGTTCATCACAACACAACAAACTTGCAACATTTTGGGTCAGTTAGATTTTTGTTTTATAAAGAAATTAATATTTCTATTCAGCAAGGATGCATTAAATTGATCGCAAGTGGAAAATAAATCCTGATCTTTTGAACTTTTTTATTCATCAACGAATCCTGACAAAAAGTATCATGGTTTCCACAAAAATATTATGCAACTATTTTAAACATTGATTATGATAAGAAATATTTCTTAAACACCAAAATCAGCATATTAGAATGATTTCTGAAGGATCAAGTGACACTGAAGACTGAGTAATGATGCTGAAAATTCAGCCTTGCCATCACAGGAATAAAGTACCTTTTAAAATATATTCAAATAGAAAATGGTTATTTTAATTTGTAATAATTAAATTTGTTACTACTGTTTTTACCATATTTTTGATCAAATAAATGCAGCCTTGGTTTTATTTAAAAAACTTTAAGAAATCTCACTGACCCCGAACTTTTGAACGGTAGTGTGCGTTGATGATTTGTTTCTTACTCATCAGCTGTGGTCACTCTCCTTGATAATAAAACTACCAAGAGTCGATCTCTTTTTGAGGCTTCTAATGGAAATGAGGACTGCATGAAGCCCACATACAAGGACATCTACTTCACCACTCTGGAGTTGTTCAAGTTTACAATTGGCATGGGAGATCTGGAGTTCACTGAGGATTATAAATACAAGGAGGTCTTCTATGTGCTGCTGATTCTGTATATAGTGATGACATACATTCTGATGCTGAACATGCTGATCGCTCTGATGAATCAAAGCGTGGAGGAGATGTCCGTAGAGAGCACTAGCATCTGGAAACTACAGGTAAAATCAATTGCAAAATGAAAACGATCAACCCATTCCTACACTGAACTGATTTGCCATTTTAGTTGATCAATTAGGCAATAAATATGATTGTTTATCACAGCGTGCAATCACCATCTTGGACATGGAGTGGATTCTTCCCCATTGTCTGAAGACAAAGCTTCGCTCAGGGGAAGAGAAGGACCTGGGCGGAGGGCAAGAGCCTGATCGACGCTGGTGCTTCAGGTGACCCTGCATGGTGGCTTCCACAACATCTGAAGTTTGCATTTGTCTGTTATCTGAAATCGGATGATACATTATGAAAAGATGATATTAGCATGCACACATAATAATGCACACTTACCCTGTGTTACCCTCTGTGTTTGGTATTAAACAGATATGAGTGAAACCATAAACAATGGACAATCTTTCTTTCAGTGTGGAGGAAGTCAACTGGAACCAATGGAACAGAAACATGGGAATAATTAACGAGGATCCTGGGACATGCACGAGTTTACCTTCCACAACTAAACCTCAGAGAGGTAGTCAATGTTAAACAAATATGTGTGTATGTGTGTGTTATTTTAAACCTACATAATATCATATGTATTTGTTACAGAGCCCAGTCAGCGTGGACTCCTACAAACGCTCAGTAAGCGCTGGACACAGAGACCACCGCGCAGAGATGTACAGGAGCTGGATCCTCTAGCTGAAGCCTCTACCTCCGTCTGATGCTTTTATAATCACTATCTATTGCACTGTCTATTTTGCAATTCCCTTTCATTACAACTGGTGTAGGAATAATTATATTATATGACCGGATAAAAGGGGTCATCACCTCAAGGGTCATCATATCTTTTGAACGCTGTACATTTTTCAAATGAATATGCATGTGTTGTAATTTAAGGAAGCATTTATTTAAAAGTATATATATATATATATATATATGGTTATAATTAACCAAAATGTGTGTGTGTGTGTGTTTATATATATAAACACACACACATTTTGGTCAAGCCTGTGCACTAGAATATATAATTTGATTATTCACACAGTGGCAAGAAAAAAATGGTCAGGATGGAAATAAAAAACTGAAGTCAGCCATTGCTCAGTAAAGGATTTAGAGCTAACATGAGGATGGAAAAATAAATAAAAAATTGTGACATTGTCCACTCAAACTTGAAATTAAATAAAGAAAAAAGTAAAAGTATGTAATATTAAACCCAATGGTCACTTAATAAAACTAATACGATTTCCATTTTGAAAATAAGAATATTTAAAAAAATATATATATAAAACTTTTACAATAAAAGCACCACAAATAGCCTACCTAATTTCCAACACTCAAAAATCACATTTCATGTCTGTCCAGCCTTTCAAATGTGTCAATATACCAGAATAGAACAAAATATACAAGATGCAAGAGTTGAGACGCATAATGGTGACATGAAAATGTACTGCATAATTAGAAGACCTAATGTTGCCTATATGCAAAACTGTACAAAGATGTTGACTAAGCATCTTTTATTTCAGAACATTTAAGTGCATCTGTATCGTTATATATTTACATATACTGTACCAGTCACTTTTAACAGATAATATAATGTAGGCTAATTAATGAAAATATTAAAAACACGATGTTGCATGATCAGCTGGATTGATTTTAAGGCAATGTGGAAAACTGTTTGTGTATATCGCCCTCTTGTGGTGACTGACGTAACAACAACTGAGAAGCATCACAGGATGATGTAAATAAGGTCCATACATGATGAATCCACTGTGCGTAACATTACTTATTGCTACTATAATCGAAAGCGTCCACAAGAGCACATTACTTGTTTTACTGAACGCTCACTAAAGTTCAGTTGTGGATGGGTTATGTCATCTGGCCATTATTTCACTGCAGAGCTGAAATGCTATGACCTCAGTCAGATCTCGAGTCTCCTGCTGTGCTCTGTTATATAACTAAAATTTACATTCGCACCAGACCCCTTAAATATGCGACGCCCTGCTCGGTCGGTGCGCGTAACTTCCGGCGCTGTATCCCTTTGATATAAAAAGCTGTAATAATCATACGTAACTGAGACAGCTGAGCCAATGGAACAGTGGCCTCACCCGGAATATGAGCAGTTTTTCCTTTAATTGTTGACTTTTCAGTCCTGAATAAGAACTCTTTCTCTTAAATTAGGATAAGAGGTTCTCTAAGCATCACGACATTTTAACAGAATGATTTCATTCAACTGTTCACACGCACACACACACACACACACACACACACACACACACACACACACACACACACACACACACACATCATGTAAAGTAGGCCTATTCCCCAAAACTAATAAATGTAGTTTTACTCAATATAACTGTTAATGGATGTATTCGCTTTGTAAATATGTTGTTAACAAATTGTATTGCGAACAGTAATATACAAATAAAATGTGAGTATAATTCAGTGGACTATGCAAAACAAGCCATCTTGAAATTTGTCATCATTTAATTTTTTAGCAATATATTGGCGGTGTAACAATTAGCAGACCTTTGTTACCAGAACTGACTTAGGCCTGCAATGCATAATTTGTGAGGAGAATGCCTTAGAAACTCTTCATCGTTTTAGAAGTGTTTGTCAGCAAATGTTCATTTGATTTGCATTATAGGCTATGTGTACTGCAAGAGTAGAACAGACTACTGTTCCATTCACTCCTTCATCGCCAAAGCAAAGTGATTTTGTGACAAGATCAGCTAATTCATTTTTGTTCGCTTTCCTGTTTTTAGTGTGGGATGGTCTGCATTTCCTGCAATAGCTACATGAAGTCAGATCATCATAAAGCCTGATGAGCAGACATTGATTGAGAAGACAGTTTCTTAAAACAGGTCACTGTCAAAAAGTCCTTGAATACTGGATGAGGGTATATGAACATTTAAGACCAGTTCAAGGTTGAAGATTTAAAGAAGAGAAAACAGCTTAGACAATCAATAAATTAAGTGGAGTCATACTTGAAAGCATAAATTAGAACTTTATTTTATTATTACAATATTACAAAAAAGAGTAGCACAACTCTCGCACTCTTCAGATTCTTCCCACGCATTCAATCGACAGCCACAGAGTGACAGATATGAGAAAGGCTTCTAGAAGCTTCCTCCATTTCACAGCAATTGCAAAAAGAAAAAAGAAAAAAAAGATTTAAATAATGAGAAAAAAAAATCTAGTTCAGAATTATAAATAGCACAAATTGCAAAACTGAAGCTTTGAAACATGGAATAAAAAGATTTTGTTACAGCCCAGAACTACACACAGCTATAAAACATAATGACGATAAAATATTCTTTATTTCTTCGTTTACATTATAAAGTAATTCTAAAGAATTGCTTTTCTATTCAACAAAAGCTCAAGTTAATAAAAATAAACAAGGAAAAATGCTGTTCCTTTATAGTCTATTTTTCGAAATCAGAATTCATTATACCTTTATTATAATCATGCTTGTTGTCAAAGGAAAGTCCAAGGACCAAATACTTAAGGCTTCATGAGGGCTGTTAAGGGGAGGCAAACCAACAGCGAGTCGAGACAAACTGACCCACCAGCACACACACACACACACACACACACGCATAGGGCCATACACACCTGCGCTCTTCACATGCACACCACGTCCGTGAACCCATATCCATATGCAGCCGCATTCATACACAGTTATTACACTTCTTTAAAGATACAGCAGTACAGTAGATAAGCCAGTGTACAATAAAATAAGCAATCCAACTGCCGTTTCACTGTTTTGACTTTTTTCTTTTAAAAAGTCCTCCTTAATTTAACCACAAATGATCTTGCAAGTGATCAATTTGGTCAATTCAAGCACACTTCACAAAAGAATCAGTAGCAATTCCTACTTTATGTTATTATAAAGGATGAATTAGAAAAAGCAGGATCATAAACCCCTTGATTTGGTACATAGTTTCTACATCATAATATTAGTAACAAGCCTACAGACACCACCTTCAGTAGTATGTTTAGTCCTTCAAACCCACTTACAGCTATACCACATTTGACCCACCTGAAACTGCACAACTCATCTATACAATTCAAGTAGTAGTTTCTCATATGTTAGGAAATAAAAGGAGTATAATGATTAGGTTAAACGGAAATGGCACAGATTTAACATTGAAACCTCTGTAGCTATTCTCCTTTGGCCTTTACAGCTTTACAGAGAAAAGAGAGAATCTTTCACAATCATTATACAAAACTTCACTCACATTAGTGACTCAGAATGCAAATGACACCTGATTTGTTGCATCACTAAAAGAGGCGTGATACATGTATGCGGTTCCTGTCTTTTAAGTTTCCTGTCGGTCACAATGTGTCCAGCAAAATGAGGTGATGTTTCAACCTTTCACAAGCTTAAAGCAGTTCCCATTTTACACATACATCCATAAAGCCCATAACAAATAGATTTTATTTCTAAAAATAAAGAAACAGGGGTGCCTGGTGTAAAGGAACACATGACGAGAGCTTTCACCTAGGAACAGTCTGAAGGGACCAGTGATTGGCATTTTTCCATATAGTTCAGACACTGAAAAAAGAAATAAAAGACAAAGAATGTGTCATGCTGAAGAGGGAAGTGCTCTGAGCCTGTCAGCCATCTTGATGTTATAAGACAGGCTTGAAACAAAGATCTCTCAAATGAAAGCAAGTTGGTTGTCCAATGCACAGTGATCTACTTCACAAGACACTTTTAATAATGTAAGCACTAACACAAGAAAGATGGTCATAAATAACCCAGGAGCACTTGAGATCCAGGTACTTGGAGATAGACAGAACTCAAGTTTGGAAAAAACCTAAACTAAATTCCCTTTAGTGCCTCAAAAAGCACTTGTTAAAAGAAAATAAATTGATCACTTGCAAGATTAAATACACAAAACACTGCTCTTCATTAGACATGTTTATATTCTTTTTTCTTTTTTCTTTGTTTTCATCAACAATCATCCTTGAGATTTTGAGCTCATTTAGTTCCTTCGTAATGACATTTTATTAAGACTAACAGAAGATGTCGAGAACACGCACATGTGTGGCTGACTTCACTGAGGAGAGACTGTGTCTGAGGCTTGTGAGCTGAAGCTTATCTGTACCCTGGGTGCTGGCCCTGCGTCTCGGAGGGGGGGACCACTACCCGGCCCATAGGGGGTGGCCTGTGCATCTTCCCCATCAGGATGAGATTCTGATCTCGGAAGCAGGGCGTCTGGAAGTCCCCTCCCATGCAATCTGCCGTTTGCATCAGATTAGTCTGCCCTATTAAGGCACCCCCTACTAATCGATAATGGGCCGCTACTCCCACGGGGTCCATCCCAGGGGTGGGGTTGGTATTGCCCGTGCCAGTGCCATGGAAGGGCAAAGGGAGGTCCTGTGAGCCAGAGCTGTCACTGTTGGGTGTGGGAAGAATACTACCCCACACTGGCGGCTGGTGGTAGTACTGCCCGTTGGTGTAGTGCGTCACTGCGCCTGGTGGCATTGCATTGCTGCTGTGGTTGTTGGCAAGTGGCGACGAAGGGCTGGATGGTTTCATGGCATAAGGCTGCCCCATGCCCATCTCTGGGGGATAGGTGCGACTCTGCGGTTTGCAGGGGTGTCCGCCCCCTTCTGAAATGTGCTGAAGGTGAGCAAGCTGATGCTGAGTCCAGGACCTCATCTGTGGATGCTGGGGATTTCGCTGAGGTTGATGGCTTTGATGCTGTAGGTGCTGTTGTTTCATATCGCTGTGATACATGTGGTTCATTGCAGCCATGTTATGCGGAGGCATTGCACTCAC